ATTGGTTAATGTTATTTTAAAGGTAGCCTGGAAAGAATGTGTAGTTAGCATATCTAATAAGATCAGTTTCGTAGATAATTACGATTTGAAGCAGTTGACAGCATAAACGTCAAAGAGCTAACAAGGAAAAGATGAGGCAAGCAGAGAATATGTTGCACCCAGTTGCACTTTTATATTATATAAAGAAGTCATTAGCCAAAAGTTTGAGTTGGCTTCAACCCAACATGCAGACAAGCGTTGCAGTAGACTTGATAAACAAACCAAATTCTTCAAGACAGAAAAAATTTGAGGTTATTACTAACTACAAAAACCATGTTAAAAAGTCCTTTTCTATATCAACTTTTTTGGTACCATAGAGTTCACAAAGCAAATGGACTGGCAAACGTCACATAATTCATTAACATGCTGTATTGAGAACTTTCTAGTCGGAGCATGCATCCTGCTTGTAGCTGATCTTCAGTATTCACAGTTTTCCAGCTCAATGGAAATTGTTCACCATATTGACAATTGACTTTGGACACAACTATTCAAATACAATTGAGTCGCCAGTCCTCTGATTTGAAACTCTCCATCCTTGAAACACTAAGACACATTTAACATAACATGTCTGTGTCCTAAATGGTCAGACTTCAGTATTCTCCTGTTATGCTTGAGACTCAAGTTCCCGAGTTTATTGAAAATTAGGGACTGAAGACCAAGAAAACTAATACCACGAGAAACACCGTAACTATCACTTCCATCAAACTTATTACATGATGGACATACCACAGGTGAGCTGAAATCAAGACCTCAACATCTAACAACAAATCAGTAAGTCAGAACTTCAAGGTCAAACTCATTTGTGAAAGATCATTTGAAACTAATGAAGTTCCCCTGAACTCAAGTGCCTTTATATTTGTATCCAAATTCTCAATGTAAAATTCCTATATTATCATTATTCAAGAAAGAAACAGCTAATAGAATGCACACTAGTTACTGCGCTTTCACCAATCAACCTTGAAAGCTGGTTCATCCCAGCATGGAAAACATAGTCTTGCATCCACTGCTTCAAATTGAGTTGCAACCATATTCTTCTTCACTCCTCCGTCCACATAAGTACTGCAAAAGTTAGGTTCCAATGTTAGGAAAGTCAGAATTCAATCCAGTGAGCTCATGAGTTTCATTGATGTAGTCATCAGCGAAACTGCAAAGCTCAATTTTCTGGTTCTGATTTGAAAAGCTTGTTATCTCCAATTAGCAAGACTCCAAAACTAAATTCATGAGCTTTCCTTCTCGGATAATGACTGATTTGTCTATGGGAGTGACAACCAATTCAAATGATCGAAGAAACAAAGGATAGAAAAAGAGAGAGCACCATCTGTATAAGCCCTTCAGTTGTTCATTAAGAGTTCCAGAGAAGCAGATCTTCAAAACTCCATTTCCAGTTGCTAAGGAGTCATTAAAGCCTAAAACAAGTATCTCATCCCCATTATCAACTATAATATCTGTTGGAATATGATTCTGCAATATAAAGAACACCTTAATCACGTCAATCAAACAAAAGTCAAGAACTCTCAATCATATCCGACATAAATAAACGAGTTGGGTCAAAGCACAACGTACATGGTTTTCGGAGCTGGTAAAAGAGACATCATCAATCGCTAGGTCAAGAGTATTCAAGACCAGGAACTTTGTGGCTTGGACAATAGAGATGTCAATTAACACAATACCGGAAAAAGTGCAAACTTGAAGATCAAGATTGAGAGTGAGATCATAGCGTTTAGGGACTGCAAAATTAGGAAGTCTGGTTTGACCTTTGAACTGCTCAAGCTTCTTTTCCCTGGAATCCATCTCCCTGCCTCTCTGTCAGTTAGTGCAAGTGAAAGAAGGGATGATAATAAATTAGTAATACACAATAATAAAGATCCCCCTTTTGGTCACTATCGCCTTGGACCCAAAAGTCAAGATTAATAATTTGCTAGTACAACAAATTGTTGGTTTAAAAGCCAAAGCTGTGAAGCCGTAATATGTGCTGTGGATAGAACTCAAAAAAAGAAGACCAGTACTGGTATCTTTTTTTGGCTCATATATGGCAAAGTGAGTCCATCACTTTCAGGGGTCATCTTTCTGGGCAACAATTTTTACGGGTTATCAACAGCAGTTAGAACCATCATATTAGACCCAGGTTGGTGTTTATGTTGTACATTACCAAAGACTGTAGCTTTCCTACATTTGTCGGTGCATGGGCTCCAATTCACCTTTCCGGCAACCCCCATTGTCAACGACAAGTGATGATGAGTTAAAGCTACACAAGCTGTTCGGCTTTTTCTTTTACAAATAGTTGTGCTGATGCGTTAAATTTTTAATTTTTCCAAATGTATGAGCAATACTTTTCCTCCTTGAAATCCAGTGATTGATGGAACTTCATTCCCCAAGGTTGGTTTTCATGATTTGACAACCAAAGTTAACTTTGAACTCCCACGTCTTCTTGATGGCGCGAGTCCTCAATCAAGTTTGAAAAGATGGCAACTCGTTTTAAAACTAGCGAAATTAAGCACGGACAAGTGTTTTCTTGAACACATACAATTATCTAACACATACAATTAAATCGGAGTTTCTAACACATACAATTATCTGGATTGGTAGAAGTCAAAACAAACCAGGGTTATGTTGTTTCTAGACTCCTCCGCTACTTAACTGAAATGGTTAGGTTTTTCGAAAAGGAGCAATAACAGTTTCGAGTATAACCGTAACAACTATTTGTGAACAGTGTAGCACCTTTTGAACAACTAGTAGTTTATTGTCAACTAGTTCTGCGACTTTGTAATAGTAACTAAATATCATATGTTAGTTGTAAAGTTGTACAAGTAGTTAAAAAAAAAAAAAAATTGGAACTTGTTTAAACAATAGTGTTACAAGCTGAGGAACAATTGTTCAGATAACCGTTATTGCCTCTTCCAGTTTATTTACACGCGAACCGCTGCGCATTTGACTGACTGCTCATCTTCAATTGTCAAAGCTCTAAGTTCTCTGGGGTACTGTTCTGTTTATGCCTTTTGAATACCTGCTACAAGGTGCAATGTTATGTTCCACCAATTCTTTGGTGAGAACTAGAAATTAATCCTGTGTCCGTAATGATCAACTTCCAAAATTAGGAAAAACTTGGAACTTTGAAATTGATAACTTCATTAAGCAGACAGCATGAAGACAGTACAAATAGACGTGTTGGCTCACTGCATGCCAACTTGATTCAGGCAACATAAACAGCAGTAGACCGTAACACAGCATAGGCAGCTGAAAGAAACACATGCATGCAGAACTACTCCAGTGGAGCATCTGGACTTAAGGAGTACAGTTGGATATATGTTTTTGTCAACATTAACACACAGTTTTTCCGTCAATTGGCGGCCCTTTTCCATTCCAATCACTCCCTAGCAATTGGCTGGATGAGGAAGTTTACACTTCTCGGGCAGCTGCGTGGCGAGGTTTGGATCGATTCCAAGAGAAGGCAACCAGCTGGAGCTCTTGAAGGAGCAAAGACAAGCAACGTCTGCATGTTTAAGTGCAGCGCAGCAGGCAGATGAAGGATCGGACGGTTCGGGAGGAGTCACTGCTGGCTTGCACGACATCAGCTCCTGAGCCGACATCTTGCATATTGTCTGGCCATGCATTACCACGACATTACTAGCAAAAGCAACTAGGAAAAGAACTAAAACAAAGATATTCTGATAAGGTTTCATCTCCATCGGGGATACAGTTGCGCAAACTCAGAAATTCTTTATAATAAACTCAATGTAATGCTTAATTGTGGGATAGAGCACTAGAGCATCCTCTATATTTATAGGCAGAAGCAGATCATTGTTTATATCATGATATGAAAGAAGGGAAAGGTGGGACTACTGTCAAGAGCGTGGAGCTACAGATAAATGGTGGGGACGCATGGGATAACGCCAGCCCGTGATTGCATATTGGCTTTTTTATTTCTGGCAGAATTTGGTAGTCACGGGCCTTGGATTTGTGGTGTAGAAGGTTAGAAACCTCCTCCGCCACCTCTTTTTGCATGCTATTCATTACCAACAAATATTAAACCTACATAAAAATCGTTTTCATTGGTACTTCAATAGTCAAATTCAACATGCCGGCCCATTGGTTGATTCGGTCATGCTACCTTCGCCATCCTATTGTTCAAGTAGTTTAACGTTTAGCTAGCCAGTGGACCATGTCATTTGCTGATTAAGGAACAACCGTTTATCTTTATGTACGTGAAGGATTACATTTTGTGCGAAAAGTAATTATTGTTGCTGATCTTATTAACATTAACCCTTGCTTACATGTAGGTGAAACGTCTCTTACATATCTAGCCTTCAATATACTTGAATCGCAAACTTTCCCCAGTACGTACGATTGCTTTTGTCCAATCCATCATTCCCAGATCGTAGGAACAACCAGTTCATTTGTAAGTGTTGCGATCACCAAGCATTACGTACACATATTTGTCATGATAGAACTTAAAAATACACACCAACTTGTCCAATTCATAATGCGTAATTGGTTTTGCCCGATTCCACCATTGATCCAAGTTCTCAATTGCCGAGTTTAAATTATCGTTAATCCGGCAAGTAGTGAGCACTCAAACCAATCCGAGCTGTTTTTAAGCTTCGGATGATAATGGGATTATCTTTTGCTTTTTGTTTTCGATCCAAGTTATATTATGCTGATTAAGAATGAAGATGCTACCGAATGCTGAGTTTCAGAGATGGCATCCTGATAAGGTGGTGCCAAATCAAAAGTTTAAAGAATAAATTAGATTGGTGAAAATTCAACGGAAAAGTGGTTTCTGTGAAACGATCAAGTAAAAACTGTAAAAATTCTTCCTGAGGTTCAAGTTATATCAAACTACATTCCCAAGATGGGGAAATGGACAGGAGAAATGGAGTTTATTTCCCCACCATGCTTACCGAAGAATTTCATGTACAACGTACTTCAGGGTTCAAGAGTCATGCGCAATTGCACACGTCGAATGGATTAGAAAGGGTAGGGTTCCTCTACAAACCATTCGAGCTAAAATTGATTATAGTTCCCATACAATTCGAACTCTCTGTCACAATAAGTGGTTGTAGAGGCTGACCAGAGCCACGGAAAAGCTCTGCTGCTGCTATTGATGTTTCAGAATGCACAGCAGAAAACCTCAAGCATATTAATCTCATCAAATACCAACGCATAGAATTTTTTCCAACTTTGGCTATGTGAAAGCTTGCAAAGCATGGGCAGTTGATGTACAATTTCCCTGATAATAATATTTTCACTGAACCTGAAATGCTCCTGATAGAAGTGTTAACTGCATCTTGCAAATTCCAAGCACTTGCAGAGAATACCTACCCCTTCATAAACTGCTTTTACATATTAATATCGTATGGTATGATATGACATGTCAAGAAGTGGAGATTCTTGACCATCCAGGTTATCCATTTCAAGCCCATGCTTTCAGCAAATAGATTCTGCCTTCCAGTAGAAAGGCCTCAGACATTTACACAATAGCTTCCTGATAGGAACCAAGTCTGAGTTCCTGAATATTCATTCAGCCCGGGGAGGCTGTAAATCAGAGCAGTTGCAGCCAGGGATTCCAATTCTACTTAGCCGAGGATTGTCTTTCTCGCACGTATCCAATGAGTTTGTGATTACCGCAGAATCCACCACCCGTCATCATTAAAAAGACAAAAGTAGAAATAACTTAATGCTTTACCATCAAATCAAACAGGCAGGATCAACCAATCATCATCATTAACAACACAAAAGTAAACACAACATACAACCAAGTTCCACAAGTTATTAAAGCACTTCACTGCAGAAGCGAAATTAAACATTTCATTTGCAATTAAGTCACTTTGTGGAAGCTACCTACTTGACAGGAAATACTGAAATAACTTAAAAAAACTAGTAACTGGCTATACGAGATGCTAGAGTTGACCTCTTTTGGCAATAAAGAAAACAGTACACTAGATACTCCAAAGATTTAGCAATCTATTACAAAAAGGGCTAGCTTATTACAGAAATTCAACAATAACTTGTACCATGGCCCTATCTAAGATTCTAACTATGAAGTACAACGGCTATTTCAAGATAAAGTTCCCAAGGAAAAAAATTTATCACGTCAAAGGGATGATGCAGTTCTTAGATTAGAAGTGAAACCTCACGTACGCTCCTATATCTACTGAACTTTGCATTCTTTTTTCCCTTTTTCTGCAGTAAATCTACCGAACTGCAGAATAGCTCCAAATCCTTCAAGAAGTAAGCCAATGAAATATGACGACAATGACAGCATCTAAGCCAAATCAAACTCAATCAAAAAACATGACAGGAATACATGAGCAAAACTTACCATGCTCACAAGTCATAATATGAGGTCTAGTACTTGGAATCTTTGCTCAGCAAATACTTTTTGAGAACATCCATGACTGAACCAAAATCGGCCTTAACTTGTACTGGCGGATTTGCATACTGGCATGCCATGTCTTTAATCTCCCTAGAATGGTAATCAATTTTGGATTGGGTAAATTTCAATCCATGAGCTGTACTCACCACCACGGTCCTATCTGTTGGCCCAATAACTCCACTGTTCCTCAGCTTTATCAATGCAGTCAATGCCACGCCAGTGTGAGGACATATAAACATCCCAGTGGAATCCGCTTGACCCATAGCATCCATCAACTCCTCTTCCGTCGCCTCCTCAACAATCCCATTTGAATTCTTCAATGCAAAAACCGCCCTATCGATAGAGACAGGGTCACCGATCTGAATAGCAGAAGCAAATGTAGTATTAGCCTTAACAGACTTGAATTCTTTCCAGCCTGATTTATAGTACAAGTAAAGCGGATTGGCATTTGCAGCTTGAGCACAAACAAGCCTTGGTATTCTATTAACAAGCCCCAGTTCTTTGCACATGTGAAACCCTTTATAAAATGCATAAATGTTCCCCAAATTTCCACCTGGAACTATCACCCAATCAGGGACTTCCCAGTCAAACTGTTGCAAAATCTCAATAGCCGCGGTCTTCTGCCCCTCCAGCCTCAAACTATTCAATGAATTTGCCAAATATATAGGCAGCTCAGCTGTGACTTCGCGAATCAGCTGCATACAACCATCAAAATCAGTGTCTATGCTCAAGACAAAAGCCCCATTCGCTATAGGCTGAACCAGCTGAGCAATGGATATACGGTTTGCAGGCAGAAACACAATGGAGGGAATCCCGGCAGAGGCGCAATAAGCGGATAGCGCTGCAGACGTGTCCCCGGTTGAAGCACAGCCCACTCCCACCACAGGCCGCTTCATTTTGCGCAACCGATTCACTTGACTCACCAAAACAGTCATCCCCAAGTCCTTAAAGCTCCCAGTATGGCTGATCCCACAATGTTTGACCCACAAATCATTCATGCCCAGAAACTGTTTGCCAAAACGCTCTGCCCAGAAAAGGTTCGAATTTCCCTCAAAAGCACTGACGATATCATCACTATTAATTTCTGGCAAGACCCATTCTTTCTTGGACCACACACCGGACCCATAAGGCCACGTGGTCTTCCCAACCCTGGAGTCAAAAAGGGCCCGCCAATACTCGCCGTCGTATTTCTTCAATGCATCCATATCATGCTGTACATCGAGAAGCCCACCGGAGCGGCTCCGGTAGACAATCTCGTCGAGAGAGTAGGACTCGGTGGAACTCGGGTCGGGGTTAAAAGGGACATATTTGGCGGAGAAGTTATGGGTTGAGGTGTGTCGGCGCGCCTCGTCACGGATGTTCTCATTGGTTGGGCGCCGGTGTTTGATGGCTTGTGGAGAGGCGCTGGTGCCGGCCGAAGGATCAGGTGAGGACGTGGGGAAGGCAGTGGCTTTGACTGTGGTGAAGTGGGTGGTTGTGGGGTGTTTAGAGGCGGTGGGTTGGTGAGGTTGAGGATATAATGGAGAAGAGAGGAAGGGGGATCTGAGAAGTGTTGACGCCGCCACCATCGTAAGGAGAGAGAATGAGAGTTTGGAGGCAGGCGAGATAGCGTTTTCAGGTTAGTGCCTGTTAAGTGAAAAGGAAGTAGGCACTTGGGCTCCTGTCTATTTATAACCCCGTCGTTCGTAGCATTTAGCGGCTTCCTATTTCCGAGTGGTAGTGCCGAAATTAAACACCACCTCATCGACTAAGCATGTGAAACTCAAGCAGAAGGAAATAGGGAAAATTTCAGAAACCTCTCCAAAGGTTTCCAACTATTTCATTGGCCTCCCTTTAATTTTTAAAAATTATACTAACTTTCCTTGAGGTTAATTATCTTACACTAATATTTACATCCAATCAATAATTAAAAATAGGCATTCGAAGAGAGATGATAATGTGATTCCATCATTACCCCTCATTTACTATATTATTTAGTTAATTTAATACAAATCCACACATTAAAGAAAAATACTAAAATTTACTACTTATCATTAGCGATCATGTCACATATAGTATCAAAAAATAGTATATCTTCTATATTCTTCACTTGATACAAGTTTCAAATTATTTTTTCAATTACATAGCGACTATCAAATGTGATCAACAGCAAATAATTAAAAACATTTGCAACTGAAACATTACAAAGTGTACACTTTAACATCATAAGTATCCCGTCAACATATTAAGTGTAATTTTTGAATTTTTATGGTATTAAAATTTATTTTTTGTAATATTTTGGTTGTAGATTTTTTTTTGATTATTTGTTGTTACTGATGTTTGACAATAGATCTATGAGTGAAAAAAGTCATTTGGATTTTACATTAAATGAAATATATATATAATGATATACTATTTTTTGATACTATATGTGATTTGATTTCTGATGATAAATTCTAATATTTTTTTAATGTGTGGGTTGGTATTAAATTAACTAAATAATATAATAGATAAGGGGCAATGGTGAAATCATGTTATTTTCTCTCTCTTGATATTATTTTTTAATTGTTTGTTGGATCTAGATGTTATAAGATAATAAATCTCAAGAGATATTAGTGTAATTTTTGAAATATAAAGGGCGATCATTGAAATAATCAGAAAGCTCACAGGAGGTTTCTCCAATCATCCCAAGAAAATATCTTCTATCTAGTATAAATTATTATTTACACCACCCAAAACAAGATTCCTACACCAAAAAAAAAAAACCTTAAAAGATGACAAATTAAATTACTTGCACCAACCAAAATGAGTTTAACAAATTAGTTTTCGTCCAATCTACTCCCAATAGACTTTGGTGCAATTTGACAAATTGAGGATCACAAATTGTGGACCACCAATGTTGACTAAAATGTATGGATGGAATGTGAATTTAAAGGGTAAGTTAAAGTTGTGGAATGTGAATTTGAAGGGTAAGGTAAGGTTTTCCTCATATAGATCAATAATATGCTTACATGTATTTCTTGTCTTTCTTTTTTTAGGAATTTGTTATATATTTTCAAAAGTAGAATGAGGTGCTTAATAAGGGGTTCAATTTTTAAACATACTAATACTTTTATTTGTCTAAGGTTGATAAGTTAATGGATTTTATAAACCCCTTCTATAGTTTCATAATTATTTCATAACTAACTATTAAAGAATAATTGGCTCTGTTTTGAAGCCCTGTATTTTGCACTATTGTATTTAATAGATAAGCTCTTTTTTTTACAACTTTTGCCCACAATAATCCTTTAAAAACATTTCCAAAGTTTTTTAAAATACATACCTTTAAAAACATATAAAGTTTTTTCCCATTTCTTTCTCCTCCCTCATTTCCTACCTCAACCCACCACCAACAATCATTACTCCATTTTTTCCATTTTTTCCCTTCTCTTCCATCTTTCTTCTCCTTCTTCTTCCTCTTCCCCTACTACCTCCTCCTCTTTCACCTATTCTCATCTCCTCTCCCTTCTACATTGGTTGTATTTGGTTGTGCAACTAAAGTTGCAACTGGTTTTGATCTTGCGACCAATTAGAGAAGGGAGAAAAGTGAGATCGGTGAAGAGATTGAGGGAGAAAGGATGGCGAAGGAAAAAGGATGGGAAAAATGGGTGATATGGGAAAGGACAATGGTGGATAGGAGTGGACGAAGAGGAAGGAGGAAAGAGAAAAAAAAAAGGTAGGGAAAGAGATGGCGCTGCGAGAGTACTGTAGCGGCTGTGGGGAGGGAGGAATAAATGAAAAAAAGAAAAAGAAGAAGTCTTTTATACATTTCCTAAACATACAAGTACATGAATTTTTCTAAAAATTCTATAGTATGCTATATAGTAAAATTTTATAGAAACTACCAAAAAAAAACACATCATTCAAATAGATCCAATATTTTACTTTTCTAGTTTTTAATTACTAAAATCCATTACCGTAAATTTATCAAGCATTTTATGAGTTTTTATCAAATTCATTGTCATTACCCAATTTATTACATACGGATAGTGATTTTAAAATTTGAATCAAATGGCTCCTAAGATATTAGCTTTGACCATTTCGATTTAAATGATCAAATTGTTCTATTCCTCTGTTTTTCTTTTACATGGTATTTACAAAATAGGACAACAACATTATGGTACATGACCATATATTATAAAAACACCGAAAAAATATCCTTTAGGATGATGATATAAGAAACATGTGAATGTGGATTTTCTATGTTGGTGTCTACTTAAATTTTTACATTGATTGTTTCCTTTTATTCAATATGGTTATAAAATCAAAGTAATGAAACATTTGAGGGTTGAAGGACATGCGAATCATTTGTTAGAGTGAGCAAATGTGAGTTGATCATTTGTGTTATTGTTTTCCATACTAAACTTAGATCATTTAAATTCGAAATACAAGTAATTTCCAAATAGTGCACTGCATCGCTAGTGTGACGGCCCCACCTCCCCCTAGGGCGTACCAAAGGGTTCGGCGGACCGCCTGCCCAACTCTCGCCAGAACTCACTCACTCGTATCTCACACATACATCTATAGACAATAAGTAATATCGCAATTCAACCTTATAATATACATCGATGCACAAATCAAGATACAAAGTTTCTATACACCCGAAATACTTCAAAGTGTATATAATCCAAGTACAAATCATCATAAGCGAGTGATAGCGCGAGTACAAGTCAAAATTCAAAACAGTTAGACTACACTAGTTTGTACAAGTCTCACGCCTCGCTCGTACCCCCTGTAAGGAAAATAAATGGAATGGAATGAGTTAAAAGTCCAGTGAGATTCCAAAGAGCAAATTGATCATTATTTAAAAGTACAAGTATCAACGTAGCAAAAGAACGAGCATAACAAGTTCATAAAAGTGAACAATACACTTCAAGCAGCCAATTTCAAAAGGAACGAGTGTAAAATTTTTTTTTAAAAAGAAACAATAACACTATGCATAACAATCAAAATATAAGGATACAGATGGCTCTCAGGAGCCAAATTCCCGTTGCTTCACCAAAGCTTGATCAAGTACTAGTTGACACTCCGTCAACTTTCACGTAAAGTAACCAATCCAGTAGTACTTCGTTTAATTCCAATTTATCCACCATTCAACCCCCTTACCGGGTCCGAACACCAACTAAGCACTGGTGGTAATACTTGAGTATACCGATTAGTCGAGGAGATAGCACTCCACTCGACATCACTAACTACCCATGGTTCGTTATCTAATCGACCAAGTCTTACCGGTTCGATTCGATTAACTAGCCAGTGAAGTTTGGATCCCCAAGATGTCGATGAGATAACATCTCAAATTGACTGAATCAAAATAAAAGTACGGAGACGGGAATGAGAGGCACCTCCCACTAGGATTGAGTGTGGTACATACTGCCGCTCCGCACTTACAACTCAAGTACAAGTATATCAAGTCAATTGCAATAATAAACAAGTATATATCACATTAGGGCAAGTGCGATAAAGTACACTCTTACCCGATCAAATAAAGTACATATCCTTAAATCACATTGGTCAAGTATTGAAAACAAGTGTCCAGTTCAATCAGGTATTTGGAAGCACTCACCAAAAGTCTAGTGTCTCTAAAAAAAAATCACGTTCCGGTCCAACTTCTTAGTTGGAGTCCAAATATGCGATAAAATATCATTTACGAATGTAAACCTTTCTAGAGTTCGAAACATAGGTTCAAGAAAATTAAATAAATGCAACTCGTTATGTAGTATTCAAGATACTTATCAAATCTCGAAAAATTCATGCTCGCTCGTTTAGTTTCGGTAAGGAAGCGGTTAAAACTTTAGAACTCCCATTGGAGTCGAAAGAATGAGGAAAACATATTTCAAGTAGTCGTTATTTTAATTTCCTCAAGGGTACAAGTTTGACCAAATTCTAACTTATATACCTCGATAAAAGAAAACGCAATTGTCCTAGATGGTTCACGTGGTATTAACTCTCAAGTCTTACTCAAGTCGCAAGTATATCTACCTAGTTTTCAAGCGTAAATTTGGGCGGCACGCCCTTTGTATTTACCTATTTTTCAACCATTTATGATTTCATTCTTTTTCCTCAATCAGTCCCAAAGTCACACACAAAAATCATCTCATTTCAATAGCCATTCAATAGGTTCAAAGTCATACAAGTACAAAATTAAGTTAGGAAAATGTCCGGAAATGAAGTTTAAGTCATAAAATAAAAGACAGATTTGCCGTCGCTTAGCGTAACGGGCACAACCGAAACTACGCTTATCGGATTAGGGTGAAATTTATATCGTTTCGAAGCTAAAACAAAGGCCTAAAATTTTGATGAAGACCACTCAATCCAGTTCGTAGTGTATCCAAGTCAAAATTTCAAATTACAGAACCAGAATCTCACATTCAGGCTAGTTAACTGCACTATGCGTAAACGACAATAACTCAGACTACCGAAGTCCGATTAAGGTGTTTTCAGAGCCGTTGGAAAGCTAAGATATAGCACTACAACTTCTGTGTTTTGACCAAATGCTAATTCAGTATGGATCAGGGTGAACAAACGTGGTCAGATTGGTGAAATGTCGAAACTGGCCACAAAGCTCTACCTATGGCAGTCAGGGGTATTTTTTTTATCTTTTCGCAGAACTAGAAGAGAAGTGCTTCAAAATTGGGATTGTCAATGGGGCAGACCAACCCGACTTCGATCGTTCGGTAGGGAGAAAAAGTCCAATGAGTCCGATCTTTTAGTGAACTGGTCTGAGTTTAGTGAACTGGTCTGAGTTTGAGTCTAAAAATTAGGTTCAAATTAAATACGAGTTAAGTTTGGGCCTGATTAGGCTTAAACTCAATATAAGTGCGACCCTTTAATTACCTATATATAATATTTATATTTTGATATTATGTATAATTATATATCCAAAATTCTATATATATTATTACTAAATACTAAATATATACAAATTACAAAATACAAAAATACATCTGAAGACTCTTCTACTAACTTCTTGAGAACCAACATTAGTAATGCATAACTTATCTCTAACTTTTCTTAATGGTTGAGTAAATTTTTGTATTGATATAATATTGGCTAATTTTCTTTTGGTCTAGAAACACAAATCATTAAGTATATTTGGATTCAAATCACAAGATTATAAAGAATTTTCAACCTTTGAAAATGTATTAGATTATGATTGCATGTTTTATTACCAGTTTTATGTATTTTGAATGAATTAAATATAAATATTGTTGAAAATTTTTTATTTGTATATTTTTTAAAAACTATTATTTATTCATGTTTAGTTTTTATGTAGTAGTTTTGGAAATGTTAAATTAATTTTACAACTTAATAGTTATAGTAATTATATTAAGAAAATTAAAGAGCAATAAGAGAGTTTGAATTAAATCCGAATAAAGCTCACAACCTGAATATTATGTGAATTGAATATGAATTTCACATTGATTAATTCGTAACTCGAAAATGTTACAAATTAAATGAGGTAAACTCGAGCTTATGAAAGTCCTCAAACTTATGAAAGTCTGACTAATTAGGCACGATTGATGGATCTACTCAAAATGAAGCATAGAAAGTTGTATTCGGTTAGGCAGGTAAAAAAAAAAAAAAAAGGCTCCGCCTTATGTCAGTTAGGCCAGTCAAAGTTTGTAACCCGATCCAACCGCACTATACACATGTACTGGATATATTATCCATTTTGCTAGCTGCCCAACCCCCGACTGCCGACCCAAATTTAGTCTCCAGATAAAAACATATAGGGAAAATGGCTAATTTCGCCCCTAAACTTTTATATAGTGTTAATTTGGTTCCTACTTAATTTTTTTGTCCATTTTAATCCCTATACTTGTTTAGCGGTTCCAATTGAGGAACGCCGCGGCGACGCCACCATGTAATTTCAATCAATCTTCTAATTGAGAAATTAAGTAAGGGTATTTTGGGTACGTCACTACTGGGATCGTAAGATAAGAAAATGATATTCAACCCACTGCTCCAACTGAAAGCTCTCTGAGACTGGGTGGGAGCAAGAGAAAGAGAAATCTCAATTGGGAAGAAGCAAAGTGAAGTTCGTTGGGTGGATTGTGAAAGGTGACGACAAACCTCAGAAGAGGAGGGGATTGGGGCTGCTTTGTGGTGGTAGTGGTGGTTGGCGTCTTGGTGTTGAAGAAGAAGAGAGGTGACGACACCAGTCCACCAGCCGTCCCTATAGTAAGTATCGACAACGTCGCCTAGGTCGAAATAGGGTTCAGAAGAAAGAGGGTCAGGAAGAGGCAAAGGGCGGAGGTATTCGACATTGACGTACTCATGGAGAGGGACGCTAGTGCCTTCCTCGGCGACGAGGGTGTGGTACTGGACATAGGCCTTACTATTGGGGTGGAATTTGGATTTGCGCTTCTTGCAGAAGAAAAGGAGGAAGGAGGCAGTCGGAGAAAGGTGACAAGATACCAGACACTCCAGAACTAGAAGCCATTTTTGTTGTTGATGACCTCGACTAGGGAACCCATTGAGAAGGGGAATGACTGTTGCTGCTTAGCAATCCGCTCTTCATTTTTTGAGATGTGAACTCTACTCGGGCTTATGTGCATCCATTCCAAAGCCTGCCACTCAATCCCTACACCCATTCTCGAAACCTACCCCTCCCCCCCTTAAAAACCTATCATAGGGTTCTCTTTTCTAATTTTTTTTTCCTTTTCTTCTTCTACTTTTTTTCCTTTTTCCTTATTTATTTATTTATTTATTTAGAATTAGAGAACTACTACCAATCCTCCCCTGTTCTCTTTTTCACCATTGCAAGCTTGATCGAAATTTCTAGATTCTACCATTGCAAGCACACGAGGATTTCAAGTGGGAAATTATCAAATTTCTAGTTTAGCTAAAACTAGCAAAACGGCTATAAAGATTCAATCTTTTTGTTTAAAATGATGAGCCAAAGATATTCAGAAATGCAAAAGAACACAATTTTAAGCTCCTGTAAAGCTGACTAATTATAGCAAGAGGTTCGAAGATACCTGAGAAAAACTTTTTATCATTTGTTGCTCCAATTATAGAGTCAAAAGCTAAAGACCCATTGCCAATGTTCCAACTAACTCGAGGAGGTTATCCATAATTGCACCCAATTGTCTCCACACTTACTAGATAGATGATCACAGTGGACGAAAGCAAGAGATTAAGTTCGTTCGACGTTGTATGAGTTGGGTTCATTACCTTTGTTACTTCTATTTTTGGTAAACATAAATGCAATTGTTCTCTCATACTTTTTCATGATAGTTTGCCATAAAAGAAAAAAAGTTTTACAGAGGTTTCGAGTTTACTTCTTATCTTACGATCCCATTAGTGAAGTACCCGAAATACCCTTGTTTAATTGTTCAATTAAAAGGTTGATTGAAATTACATGGTGGCGCCGCCACAGTGTTTCTCAATTGAAACCGCTAAACAAGTATAGATATTAAATTAGCCAAAAAAATTAATTAAGGACCAAATTAACACTATAAAAATGTTTAGGGACGAAATTGGCCATTTTGCCAAACATACAAATAAGTCATAGAACAGCAGTTCCGAACGCTAAACCCTAAACCCTGGGGGGCGCGCGTCATCGACAATTTAACAAGTAAATACAGAGAAACCAGAAAGGTACACAGCTAAAAACAAGACGTATAACAATTTTGGGTCAGTTCTTTTGACTTGTAATATTCATTTTTATGTATTTTTATATGTATTCATAAGAAGTTTTTCATCTCTCGGCGCCCTGCTCAGTTACTTTTCTGAGAAAATTGGAAAGCTGAGCTTGATCTTTAGTAGGGCTGAAGAAAATTTTAATGCTTCAAATTTGGTGCTTGATAGTAAAAGTTAAAGACGCGATAAAGTTGGTTAAAGCACAAGATAATCGTTCAAGTATATGCAAAATTGCATTTTGGAAATGATTTGCTAGTAACTTGATCGACCCACTTTTAGTTTCGTGTCGAACCATGGATTTAATGATACTAACAGTAAGAAAGAACTTTTTTTTTTATTTGTTTGTCTTTCAACAGATAATCTCAGAACTCTGAACACACATGAAAATTCTTAACTATTAGATTTTGTACTTGCATGTTTAGGAAATCATTTGGTATTATTCTGATGGTCCCACTTTGCATTTTGTGTGGAAGCAGGTAGCTTGAAGGTCATAGCTGTTAAAAGAAAAGATTTTTCTTCATAGAACGTGGAAAGCTCATTTGGATACTATATTTTGTTAATAATGGCAATTGACGGGAGCTTTCATCTTCATTTTGAGCTCGAGAGGTTTCTTTCTCGATGCCCAAGGCTTGCTTCTATACCCGAATTTGACTACTTATTAAAGAAGGTATTGCTGTTTTGTTTTCGTTCTTTCTGATTTGCTCTTGCTTCTTTTGAACTATGTAATATTGGAATTTTTGCTGTATGATCTGAAGTGGGATGAATGCAGGCAGACAAGGTGACAGAAGAAGAGGTGGTGAAGGCAGTGGGGGAAATATTCCTGCACCCAAATTATACTATCCCGTTGGTGGGATGTTTCCGTCCTATAGTGCATAAGATCGTGGAAAGGACTGTTTCATTGCTTCATTTGGTGCCTGACTTAAGGTCAAATTCAGATGATTCCATGGTAGAATTTAACGAGGATAATGTCCTTAGAGAAGATGAAGATTTGGACAATACTGAGTTTATGCATGTTGTTGATGTATATGCAAGAAGTGGGAAGGGCTTGAATCTCCACGAGCTTGCTTGTCTAGCTTTTTGTCGGGCATTAGATATGGTCCCTTTTCTACTCCGGTAAGCTGAACTCTTTTGTTTCTGATAGCTCATTTTTTTTTGTCATCCATCGACAAATTTGGGGCAGATGACTGTCTGGTATGTCTTCATTTAGAAGCTAATTTTAGTGCTTTAATTTGCAAAGCTAAAACCCTTTTTAACTGTTACCAACTTACAAACTCCAGCTGTGAATCTGATTTTGTAGTCCAAATATCCATAGGTGATTTACGTACATATTCTCGATGACAAGAAACAGTTGGTAAGACTTAAACAAAATCTTATTTTCACTTATACATAGAGTTTTGGTTTAGAGTTCATCCTTTGGCAGAAAAAGAATATTTAAGAAGACAATTTCATCTCTTTTGCAGTAAAGCATATGATTTGTGAAAGTTTGACTGGTATCAGAATATTTGGATGCACTTTATGGCCTTTGCTGATAATTTTCTTTGCATATCTGTTCTTCTCTGTCTCTCTTCTTCTTCTTCTACCTTTTTTTTTCCTTTTTTCTTTCCAGGTAAGTTCTTTTCCACCGTGGATATGTACTATAGTTTTATGTTAATGGATTTTTTTGAATATTTTTAGAAATATTTTACCCTGGCTTAGAAGAAACAGAGATCTCCATTTTCAACTTCTTTTTCTCTACAGTCTGATAATTATTTATATAATTCCCGACATGGGAAAAATTTGATTGTGGTTAGTTTTGTAAGAATTATGGCTTCATTGATAATCCACTCAATGCTATTAATCATTCCCCACCTTCTTCCCCAAAAGGGAAAAAATAAGTAAATTTGTTTATCCTAAAGGTATTCTGATAAGCAGGAATGCAGTTGCATCTTTTGCACAAAACACTCTTCTCTACGCCACAGGTCTGAATATTTTCTACTATGAGGTTATGGAATTTCAAACTTCAGAGTGCAAGTCTGAGATGAAAAGATCTGGAATTAGGAGTCTCATGTTGCGACTGGACTAGCCAGTTCTCATCTGTTAATCGCTGAATATAAGTGATACAAATGGGAGGATAGGTAACTAGAAAGTACCCATAAAGATTTCAGCTGATACAGTCTCCACCCCCCCCCCCCCCCTTCAACAAAAAAAAAAGGAAAAGAAAGGTGGGGAGGAAAGGAGGAGAAAAAAGATATCCACAAACAGAGTATCCTCCGATGTACTCTTATTGTTTCCATCCATTTTTCAGATTCCACTGTCATAACTTTGTTTAGCAATTGAAAAGCTGATGCTCTCTGCTTTGATCAATTCAGCATTCCTTAATCTGTCACTGTTCCTAATTAGCTCTGGTTTTTTACTTGCTATTGTTAGTCCAAATAATTCTAGATCCCTGAAGTCATATTTGTCCCATTGACAAGTCACAATGCACTTGCTGATATGTTAGGATCCATTCTGGACAATATGCTTTTTGCAATTTTTCCATGTACCAGCTTACCACTCTCTTCAAGATGACCTTAATCTAAAATGGTTATTATATTATTATCCCTTGGCAACCTCACCTCTCCTTTTTGAAAGTTTTACTATCTTTAGTTCCCTTTCTTCTGTACTATATTAGCTTCATCTGGATGCGTCCTTGGGAAGCATCCTTTTAGTAAAACTGGGTATCCTTTTGAAATGCCAGTTTCTGTCACTAGAAATAAAAGGGGACTAATAGTGACTTTAAGCACTTGTTGGGTATCCATTCAGTAATCACTACCGGCATTGGACATGTTCCAGAAATTTTCTCCCTTTAGCGTGTCTGTGACTAAGCATATAAGTCTGCAACCTGCTGAAATTGAAGCAACTTCTAATTCTCGTATTTTGTTATATGTTAGTGTCATTGTCTAGGATTTTATGTACCTGGAGTAAATCAATAACAAGTAAATTAATCTGTTATTGATTTTGAAAACATGTTTCAAGACGAATAAAGTGATGCTGTATCCATATGGATTTTGTTTGTGAAGTTTGTTTAACAGATTCGGTGAACTCTGTGCAAAGGTTGTTATCAGCCAGTTCACAACTTTTAGTGGATTTTTGGTGTCCTTACAAATATCCCTCCTAGAATAGTAAAAAGTGAAAATGGAAACTTTTGGGCTATATTGTCATTTGCTTATGCAGGTTTGGCAGTTCCATAAACTGACTGTCATTTCATAGATCATTGTTTACATAGAATTCCTAGAGCAAGTTTAATTTCCATTACGGGAAAAGTGTCTCTGTTTTGTTTTACTTCCCAGTTCCTGTTGTTCCCATTGTTTTAGATTAACAAGTTTGCTGCTTGATCAATATCCTTTGTGGTTTTGCTTATTCTTTTCTTGCCATTTCATCCTTGGTAGGCTGGAACACTGGAATTAATAAATCAACCTTTTTTATTTTTAGTGCATTTGTGCAGCCATGTGACATGCCTTGTTCCTTGCTGCAGGCTTGTGTTGGATTATTTTCAATTTGCACCCCCGCCATTTGAAAGGATTAAGTTAACAAAATATTCTTTCAAGGAACTGGCTATGGTATGTTCTTAGTGTTTGCTAATTCCATTAACTACTTTGATTTTGTGTTTCAGTGTAAATTCATATTGTTGTTGTCTGAAATCTTTCATGGGATTTGTAGTGATTTTTATTCTCTTTGCTTCTTTGTCTTCTGTTCTTTCTTTGTTTAGTTTTCCCTTTCTTCCCTTCTGTTCATAAGCTTCTGTGACTTCCTTCCATTCTTGTAATTTTCTCATGGCTTCAGTTGGAGAATATTCGAAAGTTTGTGTCAGTCAAATTTCTGCTATCTTTTGAACTTTGAGATGGTGGTCAACATTACCCTATGGATTTTGAGTATCTATGGTGTTTACCTTGTTTTCAACAATTACTGAGTGCATCAACAATTCTAACATTATACTACATTTTGTGGTATATGGCAAATGTTTTGTGCTTATTAAATAATTGGAAACACATATGGACCTCTTATTGATTTCGAAACATGCACCTGATCGGGTGTCAAGTACCTTGTGCATATTTACCCTGTAAATCATTCAAGTAAAGGACAACCTTGATGCACGTTGGCAAATCACTCTCAGAGTATTTTCTCTACCTTTGCAGTGTTAGCAAAATTTTTGACATTACCCTTCTGCTCTTCGTCATTGCGTATGCTTTTTTTTGCATAAATTCCACAACTTGCTTATCTGGAATACTCTATTTTGTATAAAGAATGTACTTATTTGTTCCTTTCTTTCCCTCAGTAGATAGCTGTTTAAGATTGGGGCTTGCTGTTGATGTCTCTTTTCTGTCAGTCTTTTTTCTTTTGCTTTCCTTCCACTGATCCACATTATAATATGTCTTGGTATTGGTTCTTTATTTTGAATAGGATAAAATTCAGCAGTGTTATTTGGATAAGAATTTCAGAATAAAGAATGGTTTGACTGGAGGGATTTTCCATTTAAGATTTCAGCTCCATTTTGCTTCTTGTGTAGTTTTTTCCTCTTGTTTTTGTGTTTGAGGATATTGTTTGCATTTTGGCAACTATCCATCTTGCTTTTTGTTAGGGAGGAAGCCAATTGCTGAATGTGGTACGAGCTTCATATCGTCTCCTTTTAGCAGCACCAGGAGTTTTCACCACATTTTGGGACTGGTCCTCTTTCTTGGACATCGTACAACTGCTTGCAGATATTGAACATGAGGATGAGGAGTTGAAGAGGAACCTACAGGACCTGAGGTGGTGCAGTGTTCAAATACTATCCATGGTTCTAAAGACAAGGGATAGAGCATCTTCAAACTTTGGGCTTCGCTCTGGAGAAGCATTTTTGTGTTTATTGCGGTTTGTTCTGTTACCTGTTAAGTGTTTGACTATAAAAAGTTGCTGCTTTTTCCTATTGTGACCAAGTAATATTTATACCAGCTCAGAGCAAACTAAACTAATTGACTAGAATCTTTAGGCTAGGCATGTTCTGGTTATTTGCTTGGAGACGGGACATATTTGATAATAATGTCACTAAATTCAGCTAGATTGAGCTTTGAAATCAATGCGATGATATCAAAATTTCATCTTCAGCTCATCAAAGTCTGAATAGTTTAATTGCTTTTGGTTGGATTCAGTGAATGTGGGGAATGTTCTTCTAGAGGGGGCATGAAATTCTTTCGATTGTGCACTTAAAGTTGTGATGTAAAAATTATTTTCTTGTGTTTATCCGGTTTTCAACATGTCCCTAATGTCTTTATTTGCTTCTTCGTTTGGCAGCTGGCAAGAATTTTGTCAAGATATAGCATTGGAGAGAGCGGGCTGGTATCTTGGAATTTCTGCTGGAAGACAACTGGATGCAATGACTGATAACCTTAGTCCTGATCTTAAGAATTTCAGCAATAGTTTGCCTGTATTTGCTTCAGAATTTCATGACTTTTTACCAGCAAATTGGAGCATCAGCAACGTGACATGGTAATAGATATTGATAAGAAATAGGGAATGATTTCCTTTTGTACACTTTTACCAGATGAAATTGTGGTTATTTGTGACCTAATCATTGCACGAAGGTAGGATGCTACATTTTGCATTTCATACATGGCACCCTTGACTGGTCTAGAATTGCATACATCCAATTTCAGAGTAGTGTAGTAGCATGAAACTTGTGGAGTCAAACTATGCAAAAGCATGTTATTGATAAGAAATAGGGAAGGATTTCCTTTTGTGCACTTTAAGCAGATGCAATTGTGGTTATTGGTGATCTAATCATTGCACAGAGGTATGATGCTACATTTTGCATTTCATACATGTCACCCTTGACCGGGCTAGAATTGCATACATCCAATTTCAGAGTCGTGGAATAGTATGAAACTTGTGGAGACAAACTATGCAAAATCATGTATATCAAATGTTTCATTAGATGTTCACTTTATCTTACTTTACTTGGCTATTATCATTGCACGCTTGTGATTGTGGATAACTTCTCACTTTATGCTTAGCAAGCTAGAGGTATATGCACATATTAGAAACAATAAATGCAGTCGCAGATTATAACTGCCTTTCATACTGTCTCATTTTTGCTCTGTTAACTTGGAATAGGACTTTAAAGTATAGCTATGATGATAAGTTTTAGCCCTCCCATCCTCATCTGCTCTGGTCTCTTCTGCCACTTTTGTTTGTCCCACTTGAAGCTTTCGGAACCTTATTTTGTGCTATTCTGAACTTTAGAAGTGAATGCAGGAGAAATACAAAGCCTTTCGTCTTGACAGATGCACTGAAGAAAAGTTTTGAGATGGTAGCTCTAGCTGTGAGTCAGAGATGGCCTGTTCTTTTATATGGCCCTGCTGGTTCTGGAAAAACTGCACTTATTAACAAGTTGGCCCAGGAACAGGGAATCCAAGGTATGGTCCTCCTATTCAAATGTTGAAGTTTTTTCCTTGATTGGCCTGCCTATATCAATGGAGTTGAAAACATTTGGCATAACAAGTAAAGTAAAAAATTGATTGAATAGGGCAACTTGGACATAGGGTCTTATTTTCATTTCGTTCTTTATTTTTACTTAAATATTTGTGTAGGGCCTGAATCTGGTTTGCTGTTTCGAGGTGTTTTCATTTGCCTTTGACCCTGTTTCTAGGTTGCTTATATGAGGAAAAAGTTAATCCCTTAGCAGCAGCCCTTGAGGGCTTCTGAAACCTGCTTTTACCTTTCAGAATTTGAAAGCAAACATCTTTTAGACAGCACGCCAGCCTGGCATTACATTTTGGAGTCTGTTTAATTTTTTTATTGTATTCTGAACTCGTCGGTACTGCTCCCCCGCCCCCTCCACCCCCCCTCCCGGGGCAAAAAAAAAATAAAAAAGGAAAATGAGTGTAGCCAGCTTTAATAGAGTCATTTTTTTAATCTCTTAACGTCATTAAATTATCTGTTGCATTTGGGAGATAGATGGCACAAAATAGATGCCAGAAGTTGGAAATACACTTCCAAATGCTTTTTGGATGTTGTCAGCCGATGTTTTGTTTAAGGTTTCTGTTTGCCTTTTTTTCATATTATTTCTCTTTAGTGTTTGAGCAAATCTTCTTCTCTTGGTTCTCCATTGCCCTGCATGTTTGCCCGATGTATTTGAATGGTTTCATGAGTATGGTGTTGCATCATGATTTGAAGCATGTGTTGCCTTCAGTCTGCATTTATATATCAGGATTTCATTGCTAGGCAGAGTATAGCATTCGCAACTTCCATTGTTTTTAGTAGAGAGGACTTGAGAACTTTTTAGCAGTCGTATGTGGTTTAGGGCCAAAATCTAGTTCTAAAGGCCCATTATCATACTTTTTTCCTTTTATTTTTTCTATTTTTTGGAAAAGGGGGGTTGTTCAGAGGGATATCAGTGTTTTACCATGTTCATGTTTACCCAGAAAGCAAAAAATGTCTGTATACATATATTTATTTGCAATTATGCTGATTAGCCCATTATTTTTCTTGCCTGGAATTGCAGTATTGTCTATTCACATGGATGAGCAAATGGATGGAAAAACATTGCTTGGAAGTTATGTTTGTACAGAGCAACCTGGTGAGTTCAGATGGCAGCCAGGTTCTCTTACACAGGTTTGTTTTCCTCTGTGGGCTTTAAGGTACTGATCAGCTCCACGTTCTTATAAGCTGCATAAAATTGTTTTCCAGGCTGTTTGCAATGGATTTTGGGTTGTTGTTGAGGATGTTGACAAAGCGCCTCCTGATGTTCAATCCATCTTGTTGCCTTTATTGGAGGGCGCAAGTTCATTTATTACTGGCCATGGGGAGGTATGCTTCTTTTCTAGTTTGCTTTTGATATTCAAATTGCTCTTTGGAACAGTTTGAAATTTGATGTTGGATCAGTAGCACTTTTTCCATAGCAATCTATCATAGCTTAGGTTTGCTTGTCTAGCATTGATGACCATTTTTTGCAATTTTTCAACACATGATTGTATTTTTTAGTTTTATTTTACTGGTCATATGGTTTTGTCGATTGGTGATCTACTAGTAACAGGGATAAAGTGGAGAGTCTTGGACATCTATTGCTGGTAGAGTTAATTAAATGCTGTCATGCTGGCATATCCTTGTATAACTAAAAGAATTTTGTAACTTATCTCTGCTGGAGGAACTTCATTGAAAAATTTTGGGCGTTTGCAGGCAATAAGGGTGCATGAGGGTTTTCGACTGTTCGCCACTGTGACTAGCTCAAAGTTGGACATATCATCAATCACAGAAGGTTCACGCTGCTCCTTTTCATTTTTAAGAAGTTGCTTGTGATCTCTCTCTCTCTCTCTCTCTCCCTCTCCCCCTTCCCTCTCTTTCTCTCTGAAGTGAAACTTTTCAGTTTCCCTTGTCATGGAATTATGTGCTCATGTGTTATGCTCTTTTTCATTTTTGAAGAAGTTGCTTGTGATCTCTGTCTCTCTGTCTCATCTTCCCTCCCTCTCTTTCTCTCTGAAGTGAAACTTTTCAGTTTCCCTTGTCATGGAATTATGTGTTCATATGTTATGCTGGTCCTCTTATAGTAGGTTTCTTGCATTGCTTTTGCTATTGTTGATTAAATGCCACCATATGCCTTTCATGTGCACGAAGCATGCTAAATGCAACAAGTATTCTATTTGATCAATTTGTTTGAGAGCTAGTCAATCACTGAATTCTGCTTTCATCTGTAGAACTCAAAAGTTATATTCTGTCTAATTAAGACTTCCAACAAGTCCAACCCTATTTCTCAGTTTTGTTTTGAGATGATAAATTAACAGGGTATTTTGCTTTTAAGTGATGTCTCTAAATAGATAATTTACTGGCAATTTGCATGGGTAATATTCAGGTATTTGATGTGCATTTTAGTATATTCTTCTTGGGATGTCTTTATTTTCACGAAACTACCTTTATCTATTCTCTTGGTAGGAAAGAACGCAGTTGCTGCTCTTTGGCATAGAGTGATGGTTGGAGCCCCAGGAGAAAGTGATTTGCTAAATATTGTGAGTGGATGGTATCCTGAATTGGATCCGCTGGCTGGAAAACTTGTAGGTCAGTCAAATATTGTACTATAATTATGATTTGTCCTAGCAGCATAAGCACTACCTTGACGTGAGATTTTCTGCAGAAACCTTTGCAAAGATGAACCACCTAGCAGGATTTCAATTTGGGACTACTGCCTTTTCTGGTTCTCATGGCAGGTTTTCGTTGAGGTAGCTGCTTATGCCTGTGACCTTCAAAACAAATAAAATCAGTAAGTTTTGTGGTTTGTATGTGAAGATCGCCTCTTAATGTACGTCATGTATTCGCAATGGCAGAGATCTTCTGAAATGGTGCAGGAGAGTTGCAGGGTTGGGTTTAACCTTTCTTGGAGATGGTCTGTCATCTTTTGCTTGCAGTAGCATCTATAAAGAGGTTGAAAATGATTAAACATGTTGCTCTTTGTAACTTAATTTAGATAATCTGGATGTGGATGTAACTTGACATTTTGCATATTTTTAGGCTGTAGATATTTTTGCTGCCTTCGTAACTTCCACTGAAAACCGGTTAGCTTTGATGAAAGAGATTGCAAAATTGTGGACAGTTCCCGTTGTGGAGACTTTGTATCCTGTCAATAAACCCGTGATCCAAGTCTGTTCTTTTCCTACTGTAAGCTCATTTTAGTTTTCAATCTGAATCACTTGTTTCCTGAGCTGAAATTGTTTGCAGGATCTGCGGATTGATTTACGTATTGGGCGTATTACCCTTAACCGTATGCAAATGGGAGTAAGTTGAAGGATATGGCTCTTTGACTTTTTTTGACATGATTATGTTGTCAAGTTTTTGTTAATTTTCCTAATCTTTTAATCCGTCATCTGCAGTTGGATCATGATAAGAAGCCATTTGTTGAGATTCGCAGTTCAGTTCATGTTCTTGAGAGAATAGCTTGCTCTGTTAGGTTTAATGAGCCTGTCCTTTTGGTTGGTGAAACTGGTGCTGGGAAAACCACCCTTGTGCAAAATCTGGCTGCGAGAATTGGTCAGAAACTTACAGTTTTGGTAAGTTCACTGATGGCCTCTTTGATGAGATATGCTTCAAGAGATATAGATTGATTATTATTTTTCCTTGCATTTCAGAATTTGAGCCAGCAAAGTGACGTTGCAGATTTGTTAGGGGGTTTCAGACCCATTGATGCTCAGTCTGTACTGATTCCTCTATATAAAGAGTTCGAGAATCTTTTTGTTGGTACATTTCCATCAAAGGTACTGTTGAAAAAGATATTTTTTCTCCTTGCTCCTTGAAGTTCCTAGGTTTGCTAATCAGATTTACTTTTGAATCTTTATTTTTAGGATAATGGAGAATTTTTGGCGCGCTTAAGGAAATTTATAGTTGACAAGAACTGGAAGATGTTAGTAAATGGTTTCCAGAAAGGGGTTAGAAAAATTGTTGAAATAGGAAGATGTGGGTCGGGTAACAAACGCAAGAGGCCTTTAGGGGAGGAAGTGTTGAGAGGTTGGGAAAACTTTTCTTTGAAACTCGAGAGAGCTTATGCACAAATTAGTGGTTCAGGTGGAATGATATTTTCATTTGTAGAAGGAGCTTTTGTGACTGCACTTAAAAATGGGGAGTGGATACTGCTGGATGAGGTAAATTTAGCTCCTCCAGAAACTTTGCAGCGAATTATTGGTGTTCTTGAAGAAGAGAAAGGGTCATTGTGTTTGGCTGAAAGAGGTGACATCGACTATATACCTAGGCATCCCAACTTCCGGATATTTGCCTGCATGAATCCTGCAACTGATGCAGGTAAGAGGGATTTACCATTCTCATTGAGGGGCAGATTTACAGAATATTTCGTTGATGATGTGTTGGATGATGATGATCTAGTCTTGTTTATAAGTCAGTATATGGATGATGTTCATTCAAATAGTGCTTTGGTAAGTAAGATAGTGCAGTTTTACAAAGCAGCAAGGAAGGAATCTGATGAAAGGCTGCAGGATGGTGCCAACCAGAAGCCACAGTACAGTTTGAGGTCTCTTTACCGTGCTTTAGAATACACCAGGAAGGCAAGAAGGAAATTTGGATTTCAAAAAGCTTTATATGATGGGTTTTGTATGTTTTTCCTGTCTCTGCTGGATGAACCTAGTGCCAAGTTGATGAACCAATTGATATTGTCATGCCTATTAGGAGGAAAAGTACCTCAACATGTTCCTTTTGATGCTTACTTGATGGTTAGTGGAAATTCATGCTCAGATCCTTTGTTGGAGAGCTATGTTCTGACGAAGAGTGTCAAAGAGCATCTTAGTAACCTTGCCCGTGCCATATTTGTTGGAAAATATCCTGTCTTGTTGCAAGGACCAACATCTAGTGGGAAGACCAGCCTAGTTCAGTATCTAGCTGCAATAACTGGACATGAATTTGTAAGGATCAACAATCACGAGCATACTGATCTTCAGGAGTACCTAGGATCTTATATCACTGATTCTAATGGAAGGCTTGTTTTTCATGAGGGTGCACTTGTTAAGGCTATTCGAAATGGTCAATGGATAGTTCTGGATGAGCTTAACCTGGCTCCCTCTGATGTATTGGAAGCACTGAACCGATTGCTTGATGACAACAGGGAACTTTATATACCTGAGCTACGTGAAGTTGTCCGTGCACATCCAGGTTTTATGCTTTTTGCTACTCAAAATCCACCTAATATCTATGGTGGGCGTAAAATGCTTTCTCGTGCATTTCGCAACCGTTTTGTGGAGATCCATGTTGATGAAATTCCAGAGGATGAGTTGAGCACAATACTGGAAAAGAGGTGCAAAATTCCTGCAAGCTATGCTAAGAAAATGGTTGACGTCATGAAGGAGTTGCAATTGTACAGGCAAAGTAGTAAGGTTTTTGCTGGCAAACAAGGATATATCACTCCACGTGACTTGTTTAGGTGGGCAAATCGTTTCAGAGTATTTGGAAGCAGTTATGAAGATCTAGCCCGTGATGGTTATTATCTACTGGCTGAAAGGCTACGCGATGAGAAGGAGAGGAGAGTTGTTCAAGAAGTTTTGGAAAGACACCTACCTTTTAACCTTGCTGAGAATGAGATGTACAATCTGGTATATTTTCCTTCTGGACCTGAATATGAGGCCTTTCTGAGAACTTCTGTTTGCTAACTGGATTTTCTTGGATCTAACCCCTAAAATTATCTGGCAAAATTTTTTTTAATGGCCTCTATCTAGTGAACTAGTCCCATTTGATCTAGAATAATCCAATGTGGACACTTTCAGAAAACTCTCTATCTCCAAGCCCCTTTACTAGGTTAAGATGATTAGCGTGTCTGCTAAATTTATAATGAAATGGTGGGTTGTTTTCTTGACGGATTCTTGAGTATGCATGTTCAAATAAGTTGTCTTTGGGATTTTTAAATGATTACATTTAGTTGCTTTGTTAAGTGTAAATTGATTATACAACCTGTTTGTGAAAGACTCCTTTTAAAGTGTTAATATGCTCTCTATGCAGTCCATTTGTGATGCATGAAGTGCAATGGGCATTAACATGTCTTCTTTTAAGTTTGTATATGCTCTTTAATCCTTTCACACTTGATGCATGAGTTTAACAATAGAAATACAAGGTCTTTTCATGCTATTTTTTCCTTCCTCTATCCCTGGACCTTATGAATCTGCTATATTTGGTTGTTTGGCTATTGTCTAGTTATATGATGTGTACAGATGATGTACTAGCTTTGTTAATACTTACTGTTATGGATGAAAAGTAAAAGTCTTTTAGGTATTTCTGAGTCTGGCATATTGTTTGATAAAGAATGTTAATCATGGTGTTTAGCATGAGGTAGGTTGTATAAATCTTTTAGTCATCTACTATAACTATCCATTCATTGTCAGAGCCTTGGCCACGGTTTTTTGGGGTTTTGTTGATATTGCAGTGTTGAAAGGGCTTGAAGTTACAATGGCCTGTCATATATGCTCGTTTCCTTAGCAAAACACCGATGTATGCCTTTGTAGATTGATGTGATTGGTCGGTGTGACACATCAGGTTATGAAAATGCTTGGATGAGGCATTGATTGACGTGTGGTGAATTATTTTTTTCCCTTTCCTTATGTTGGTTGAACTCAATCACTCATGTACAGATCGTTGCATCATTTTTTATTCTGATTTTTAAGTGTTGCTCAGTAAATTGTTGCTCAAAGTGTTGTTCAAAGTTCTACAATCTGTAATCTCTAACTATTTGTACCTGTTTCACTTCTAATTCTTCTGCTTTCTGATTAGTGCTTTGTTATTTTGTTGATCATTCACATAGAAATGAACTTTATGCATTCCTTAAGTGGTTTTTCTGTACATTCCTTATGCCTATACACAACTTCGTTAATCATTCACTACTGTTGTTCACATTATTGGCCATAATAATTCAGGATGCACTAGATGGAGAGAAGATTGTCTGGACTCGTAGCATGTGCAGATTATATTTTCTGGTTGAGCGTTGCTACAAATTGCGTGAACCTGTTCTCCTTGTCGGTGAAACTGGTGGTGGGAAAACAACTGTTTGTCAATTGCTTAGCGTTCTATTGCAGTCCAAGTTACACATTTTGAATTGCCATCAATATACAGAGACGTCTGATTTTCTTGGGGTCTGTCTTCTTTTTCTTTTTCTTATTTTTGTTAATTTATATCTTGGTACTTGAGGGTGTGTATATGGAGGTAACCAAAAAGTATTAGATGCTTCGGCACAGATTGAGCGTAGTTAATTTTGTTGTTTGCTTTTTGGTTTTGCTTGTGCTGTTGTTTGATTGCTTAGTTCTTGATCCTCTAATTGAGCAGGGCTTCTATCCTGTACGTGAGAGGTCAAGAATTGCGACAGAGTTCAAAGCTCTATGCCATGAGTTAATCTGTTCCAAGGCTTTTATCAGTTGTTCTGGTGAAGTTGTATGTTCTTTTCGGTTCTTTAACTGATGTATTGGTTTTCTCTTTTCTGAGAGTATGATAATAGAATTCTTTATTTGTCTTGGCGTGCAGGAGATTTCTTCCGATATTAATCAAGCTTCTCTGACTCTGGATAAAATCTCTCTGATTATCAATGGTTACAGAGAAGGTCGATTTTCCCATCCTCATGTCACCCTAGATGAACTTGAGTACATAGTGAAGATTAATGCAGGCTTAGCTGAGCTGCATAATAAGTGGCAGACCATCTTTATATGGCAAGATGGACCTCTAGTAGAAGCAATGAAGAATGGCGATTTGTTTCTTGTGGATGAAATTTCTTTGGCTGATGATAGTGTGCTTGAGAGATTGAACAGTGTTTTAGAACCAGAAAGGAAGCTGGTGGGTGGTTTGCTTCAATGAATAATTCTTCCAGATAATGCACTTGATTTACTATATGGCTTCCTACTTGTTCGTGCGATGGCTTTGTTTTTCTTGAGTCGGTTGTTAAATGATCTTATGGTCACAGTTTTTTCTAAATTGTTCACTATGGGAATCAGTTGAGATCATGTAGATTTCACTATCATTGTGAATCTTGCTCATCTTGCAGTTTTTTCAATAGATTTTAAGTTGATTTGGTATGTAGGCTGTTAGTAATTAAGTCTAAAAGTTCCATAATTGTGCTTACTCTGTGAGGACCAAGTGCCAAGTCTTTACGAAAGCTGAAGATGTAGTAGGCCCAACAAATTATGTTGACATCTCATTTCTTGCATGTCCATTGGTGGGGTTTTACAGAATTTGAGACCATAGGCGGAAGCTTTGTTTTATACTAATTTCAGTTCGCTTTAGTTGGACCTTAATGTTGTTGTACCATGTCAGCCAATTATGCATTCTGTTTGTGCACCTAACAGAACCTTGTATCAATTGTAAGCTCTTGCATATGAAGTTTGGCTTCCGAGACAAGATCATTGAGTCAGTTGACAGAATAGGTTTACTTCATTACTGGAGTAGGATACTCCTAGATAATCAAAGAGTATTCCTTCCATATATACTGGCCTTTAGCTGAACTTTTTGATCATTTTTTCAGCTCCACTTGTCTGTATAGAATAATTGTCAACGGTATTGTGATGGTCTTTCCAACGCCCTGTTTATTTTGATCTTTTGCTCTCCGTTCTCCTTTTTATCCAATTCTATGATATTTTCTGATATAAGCATATATTTGAATTAGAAAGGATATCTTTGTACTTGTTTACTGACATAATTGCCTTTGTAGTTAGGCAAAAGTTTTGGTGGGAGTTTTAGGTTCAGTATTCTTAACTTTCATTTCGGATATATAATGTATTGGCTCTTTCCTTTGACTTCTCCAGTCATTGGCCGAGAAAGGAGGCTGTAATTTGGAAACAATCACTGCTGATCCAAACTTCTTTGTGCTTGCAACAATGAATCCTGGCGGTGACTATGGTAAGAAGGAATTATCACCTGCCCTTCGCAACCGATTTACTGAAATATGGGTTCCTTCTGTCAGTGAGTTAAATGAGCTTAGATCCATCGGTCTTGAGAGGTAAATGACCACTACTTTTCATTCACAAATTAATTTTCCATAATACAGCGCTTCTTGTAATTTTCCTACTTCCTTTGTTTTGATTTTGCAGAATTTCAAATCCACAACTAACTTGGATCGTGGATGTCATGCTTAATTTTTGGGAAGTATGTTCAGTCAATGTTCACATGCATATTTGTGTGTTCTACACAGTATTGCACAAATAAGTTGATATTTGGCCTGTGATTGCAGTTTAGATTACTTTCTCATTACATAATATCTTCTTGAAATTAGTTTTTGAATACATTATTCTTTCTCGTGCCTTGCAGTGGTTTAATCATCTTGAAACTGGGAGAATGCTTACAGTCAGAGATTTTTTATCCTGGGTAGCTTTTGTCAACATGAGAGAGGAATCTTTACCACATGCGGATGCATTGTTACATGGGGTATTCCTTGTTTTGATTGATGGAATAAGTTTAGGTATTTGTTTCAATCTTGGTTTTCATGTGATATCCTAATTTTTTGGTTTGAACAACTAAACTAAACTTAAGACCTAGTTCTTTAATGCTTTTTGGATGGACGAAACTGATTTTTATTTTGTTTCTTATGCACTCTTTTTTTTTGGTGTTTTTTTGGATTTATTAACATCCCACCATATGCTTTATCTCTTGTTTCCTTTCAGGTACAAATTTATCAAAACTTGAGGCTGTGGACTTGAGGAAGAAATGCCTTTCTTTTCTTCTGAAACAACTAGAGGTGGTTCTCTATCTTAATGGACTGTGAAGTTCTTTCTGATATTTGACTCATATGATCTATACTTGTGAATCATAAAAGGGTAATAACCGGAAGTCTTTTACTTATGTTGTCACGTATGAATCTTGTGTCTCTGGCTATCAAAAATTAACCTTTGTACGTATATACAGAAAAAAACTACCAAAGGGTGGTGTGATTCGTGCCATAATTTCCCTTCTCCACCAAGATATAGGAAAGGAAAATTTATCTGCTTTATATTGTTTTGACATTTATTGTTTTGTAAACTGTTGCTTTAATTAATTCTGGTGACTGTTGAACTGTATTGTGGACCAATTTTTCTCTGTAAATTTAATAAGTCAAGAGTTGTGCAAAATGCAATCACATCATTTGATATGTTTGGAAGAATTGTATAGAGGTTTTCTTATATTTTAGTATGCTTCTGAGGAGAGGATAGCACAGCTGCTGCTTCACAGTTTTGTGAAGAATTGGACATGCACGCTTTACTTCTGCATGGAAGCGGTTGTTTGCCTTTGCCAAACGTGCACTGTCTCCTAATAGGCTGACCTATCATTATTGCTAATAGTGGTTTTTTTGAGGAATTACCAATTCTATTGGATGCTACTCTTTGTAGTGGGCTTGAAGCTATTGCTCTCGTCTTGCCCTTCAAAAGAGGCAAGAGTTCATTTGTTCATTTACTTCAGTAGTACGTGGCTTCTAAGTATTCAAGTCACCGTTTCCCATTTGGGATAAGCTGTTTATAAATTTGCAAATTTGAATATTTCCTGAATATCTAGATGTTTCTTCATGGGAAGAGCTTATGCATACTTGGAATCCTTTTTTCAAAAAATCCATGACTCAAGTTGCTGGTTAATTACTACAGGAATTCAACTGCAGCTTGAACCACCCTAATCTCTCCTCTCTGGAGTATTATGGGTGGGCTGATCCTGGTAATTCTGCTGATACACCAGTCCCAGAAAATGATAGCATGCAATGCGACAATCGTTTCGGCATCTACCCGTTCTACATTGGAATAGGTAATGGTGTTTTCCTTTTACGTTCCAAAGTCACAAACATAAAATCTTCGTGGTGAAGTGCTGAAGGGTAAAGAAGATAGGGATATGCAATCTATTCACTATTTAAGGTTCCGAGTTGCATGCCATATGCTGTTAATGTTCTGATATTCCTAGTCTGTGACTTTAATATTGGTCTAAATCTTAATCCTCGGTCGTTTCTGTTGTTTGCTTTGTCTTCTTCAAGAATATTAAAATTTTCTCTTATTGTTCTAAGCTGTACTGTACAATTGTGTTGAGTTGGCATACAAGAGTATAGTAAAATTGTTAAAATTGTATAGACATGATGGGTTGGTCTAAGCTAGAGGGGAAATTAGATTGAGTTTTAGCCTATTGATTCAGGATACATGTTGCTCTGCAAGAATGTAATATATTATTATATTCAGGTAACAATAATTGTCAAGTAAGGGGATTTGAGTTTCTTGCACCAACTACTCGAAGAAATGCACTGCGCGTGCTCCGTGCTTTGCAGCTTGCTAAGCCAGGTACTTTTTATTCCCTCTAGTGACAAAAATCATGTATTTTCTTTTAATGTATTTGCGTAATCTTTTGCATCCATATATTTACACCAGACCTGGTATTTTGAAGAATAAAGTATTATCAGAATTTGATTGTGTATCATTTTATGTGTGCTTTTCTAGTTCTGTTAGAAGGCAGTCCGGGTGTTGGTAAGACCAGTTTAGTTGTTGCCATAGGGAAGTTCTCTGGGCACCTTTCCTTTCATGAGTGACTGTTCTTTTTTATACTGATCCTTAACGTGGAGTGACCATTTGACTCGTAAAATAATTTGTAATAATTAGGGTTTGAATGCTATTCTGGACCATCGGGCTGAGGTCTTCATCCCTGAGTTAGGTGCGACTTTCAAATGCCCTGCATCTTTTAGAGTTTTTGCTTGTCAGAATCCTTCTTATCAGGGTGGAGGGAGGAAAGGTCTACCAAAGTCATTCCTGAACCGATTTACCAAGGTATGGCGGCATTGAATTGTTAACTTTTGTATCATGTCACTTTTGCTTAATTAGTAAAGGATATGTTTTTCATACTGGGCTATCTTTCTATTCCTGAGTCAGGCTTATTAGTTTCGATTTGTAACCTTCACTAATTGGCTAGGTTTACATTGATGAGCTCATTGAGGATGACTACATATCCATATGTACCTCACTGTACCCATCAATCCCTCGATCTATTCTTTGGAAGCTGGTTTTGTTTAATAAACAACTTTATGAAAATACAATGTTGTATCACAAATTTGCTCAAGATGGTTCTCCGTGGGAGTTTAATCTCAGAGATGTTATTCGTTCATGCGAGTTGATACAAGGTACCCATTTTTTCCATTCTATGATGTTAACTTATGTCATTAAAGTTGATGGTTACATTCTAAAAGCTGCCAAACTTTTCAGGTGCACACGAGAATTTCCAATCTGATTGCTTCTTGAATACAATTTATGTGCAAAGAATGCGCACTCCAACTGATAGATTAGAAGTCATAAAGTTGTATGAACAGGTTTTTGGGCTTAAACCTTGCATAAATCCATTTCCACGAGTGCAAATCAATCCTCAGTATTTAGTCATTGGAAACATCTCTATCCAAAGGAATCCTTATCATGCTTGTGGATTTTTTAATGGTGAACTCAAAATTTTGCCTGGGTTTCTTAGTAGTTTGGAGGCTATCACTCATTGCATAGGGCATCAGTGGTTGTGCATATTAGTTGGTCCACCTTCGTCTGGCAAGACTTCTTTGATAAGATTACTTGCTGAGCTCACGGGCCATGTGCTTAACGAGTTAAATCTTTCGTCTGCAACTGATACATCTGAACTACTGGGATGCTTTGAGCAACATAATGCCTTACGCAATTATCGTACAATTATTGCTGTGGTTGAACGATACATGAGCGAGTATTCCAGCCTGCAGTTAGAATCTTCCACCGGGGAATTTATCAGACAAAAAGACCTCTATAGTGAATGGCTTGCCTTCTTATCAAGCATTGATTATGATCCTACAAGAAGTTCTGCATCTGCAAATATTGAAGCTTGGAGAACTAAATGCTTTGATTCTGTTCCTTTGCTCATTGAGATTATAGAGAATCTTAAGTTTGAAGTTGAGAAAAAAAAATTACAATTATCTTGGTCATGTAGGGATCTTGATAGAACTCTTATGGCAATCAAAAAATTGCAAGAAAGTTCTTTGAGAAGGCAGTACTCTGCAAAGTTTGAGTGGGTAACTGGAGTACTTATTAAGGCTATAGAAAATGGAGAATGGATAGTTCTGGAGAATGCAAATCTTTGCAACCCAACGGTTGGTAATTCTATTAATTGTTACTTTGATTGGTTCTCTCTCTTTTTTGTGATTGTATGATTTCTGAAGCGCTGAGTGTAACATTATCTATCTCTTGCTTGCCTACAGGTTCTTGACAGAATTAACTCCTTGGTTGAGCAGTCAGGATCTATCACTGTGAACGAGTGTGGAACTGTGGATGGGAATCCAGTGGTTCTCCATCCTCATCCTCAATTTCGAATGTTCCTGACCGTCAATCCCAGCTTTGGTGAGGTTTCCCGAGCAATGCGAAATCGAGGGGTTGAAATTTATCTAATGAAGCCCTTTTGGTTGCATGAAGGGAAATGCAACAGCTATATTGATGAGGCTGAGCTTAGAGATGCGAAAAGGTTTATTATCTTCTCTGGCATTACATTTAGTAAGCTGGTAGACATGATGGCTAAAGCACACAGTTATGCTAAGAATGAAGGTGCAAGGTTTGATGTCCACATTACATACCTGGAACTTGCGCGCTGGGTGCAGTTATTCAAGCGGCTTATTACAAGTGGCAATCAACCTATTTGGAGTCTCCAAGTTAGTTGGGAGCATACATATCTTTCTTCTTTGGGTGAGGTTGAAGGGAAAGATGTTGTTACTCATGCAATCAGCTCTTATTTGTCAGAGACGAATTTGTCTAGGATTGATAAATTTCAAGATTCATTAATCTGTCTGCCTGGTGGATGGCCATCACCCATGAATACGAGGGATTTCGTACTTTATTCCAAGGAGACTTGTGTGAGACGAAATTGCATGTATTTGGAGTTCCTGGGGGTTCAGGCATCATATTCCTTTTGTTTTAGTACATGTTCAGAAGAACAAGCTGTAATTGCTAGTGGCTCAGAGAGAATTTACTTGATGGATGTGAGAAGATTGTATTATATGATGTTTCCCAATGCCTCAATGGATATGGTTTTAAATCAGGTGGTGCAGAAACAATTCAACTTGGACTTAGCCAGGAAAATGCTATTCTTTGCAGCTAATTGGACAATAGAGCAGGCCGTGGAAAGTGATATTGAGCTATACCTTTGCTGGTTCAGTTGGTTTGGTTCTCATGTAGAACCATTTTGTACATTTTTTAGTTCTTTTGTTGATACCCTAAAAGAGGAGCTAAAGCACCCTGTTTGGGACCGGATATTCCATTGCCGTCGGGAGCTCTTGTCTCGTAACTCAGTCAATTTGGAAGCGTTCCCTATCCCAATTCTTTCAGTGGATTTGGTTGGTTTGTCAGCTTCTAATGACGAGGTAAAATCTTATGCTGGATTTCTGATGAATTCCATTAAGTGTGTGGGCTTAGTCAGACTTACCTATGAGCAGTGGAGACTGGAGAGACAGCATGTCCACAGTCAGAGAACGAAGTATTTTGAGCCTCTGTTGCTTGCTTTGCAAGTAGTGGAAAAGCAAGTCCTTAATTTACTTGTTGTCTCACAGTCTTTTGATGTGCTTTTCCAATTATACAATGGCCTCCTTGAAAATCACATGCTGTTCTGGAATGGCATCATATCTTCTCATTTTGAGTCCATTTTAATTTCTTGGCGATCTTTGTTGAAGAGTATTTCAAGAATGCACGAATTTTTCCCAAAAGAAGTGGATAATTTTCTGGTGAGTTTATCTGAATCAGCTCTCCTCTTTCCTCTTTTAAAGTTTCTGTAAATTGTTGGTAGCATATCTTAACATGAATGTCTTTCATTTCATCCTACAGAAGGAAATAAGAAATGTGGATCCTGCGTTCTCTGATTCTTTGAGATCGCAAAAGTCATTACTCTGGGTGCATGGTGGTCATCCCTATATGGCCCCTTCTGAAGATGTATATCAGAAGCAGTGTCAACTTATAAGCCTCTGTGAAATGGTATGGCCAAGAAAGAGACAATTTTGGGAGCAAACTGGAAGTGATATACCTGCTGAAGCTGTTTTATATTTCAACTCAGAACTTCGCTTCCTTGCTATGCAAGGTGTTTCCATGTCAGCATATATTATTGGCAATGCTGAAGAACACTTCCATATTGTTCAGCATTTGGAGGAAACATATCAGTTGCTTTTGCGAAGATTAGAATTTGAGAAATGCAAGTTGAACGCGAATGTAAAGACTTCTGAGGACGCATCGTGGCAGGAAAATTTGTCCATCTGTTGTAGTTTCCCTCCTAATTTGTTATGCAGAAGGAGGTCAGGTCTTGATAGTTGGTTGGATGAGCTGCCTATACGCGATGACACAAGTTTTTACCACGATATGGTGCTACTTAGTGAGCTAGCAAGGATTGTCATACTTGATGTCAAGGAACAGCATCAGGCTTTATCCAACTTGACTGGCCATATGGAACGTGCTTTAAATTTTTCATTGAACTTCTCATCACGGTCTCCGATGGACCTCATACCACACCAGAAGATTTTATGGACTGTGGATGCATGGTTCTCTGTCCCAGCTGTAAATGCTAAACTTGCTAGTTTTGTACTTGAGATGTGGTTCAGGTGGCACAGATTTTTGTGGATGCACTATCCTGCTCTGGCTGATGATTCTGCTAGACATTATGCTAATGGTATTTTACTACCTAGTAGGCTTTCCCGGACTCTGAAAAGTGAAACTGTAGAGCGGATTCTGCGGAATGTATTTTCTGTTGGAGATTATCCTTTGCACAGCTTGAAACTTAGAGTTGCCTCACGTGATCTATGGCAAGGTGGTCCCAGTGCAGTTGACATAAAAGATCTCCTTCTATCTAATGCCCAGTCTCTCTTTGAGCAGATTATATATTCTCATAGAAAGTCATTCTCAACAGATAATTTTACCAAAATTAAGTACTTCTTCAGTTTGGCTCTGGCAAAGACCATTACCCTAGATGATATAGATAATGTGGTTTCTCTCCTTGCTTCTTCAAATCACAGCATATTCACATCCTTGCTTGGCGCTTTGATCCAGCCAGTTCTCAGTGTACTTTATACTCCCTGTGCCCATAACTCAGATTATGTTCTCGGATGTGCATGGTTAAGGATTGGGGGTTTAAGGTATCATCTGTTAACTCTTTGTAATGATCCTGATCCTGCTGTTAAATATTCAATAAAGTACTCACAATTGATGGAAAAAATTGATTCACTTGAGCTTGAAATTGGGGTAAGGAGGGAGTGCGTCCTTTTGGCAGGATCCTTCCAGTTGAGAAAATGTGATGATTATAGAGAACAGTTGTTGGAAAATCTTCGTGCTGATCAGAAATCGATGCAAAGACGGATGATATTCCGCTCTGATCCTGGAAAGTATAAGAAGTTGAAACATGAGCTTGATGAGTTTCGTAATGATACAGCTTCTGTTAGTTGGATAAACAATATCTTGAGCATGCATGTTGAACAAATAATTGACCAAATTCAGAATTGGCAGGAAAAGGCTTCAAGTTTTATTGAGCGATTGTCAGATGAGTACTCTGCATATGGTGATGTTATTGAACCAGTTCAGGTTGCAATATATGAAATGAAGTTAGGCTTATCACTTGTTCTTTCAACTGCCTTGGCTAAAAAGATTCTAGAGAGGATAGGGCAGCAAGATATGGAATTCGTTTTGTCTACAGTTTATTCTTTTATGAGATTCCCAAGAACGTTTTCTTCAAAAGCTGTTAAGATTCAGAACTGGCAAAAGAAGCTTACTTCCTGTAAAATTGAATTACCTTCTAACATTGGGGCATTGGATTTGAAGCTTCTTGAAAATCTAATTACTATCAGTAGGGATTTCAATTCAGAGAGAGTGATCTCTGTCATATATTTCAGAATTGCCATCTATAAGAATGTTCTTGTTCGGATTACACAATTCATTTCTGAGGTCCATCTTTTGGATAATGCATCCTTTAGACTATTGGATAAAATATTTGGTGAGATTGCAAGCTGTTGGATGGATATGAAACTTCAACTGAAGGAAAAGGAACATGATGAAGCTCAACAATTCAAGTTCAGACCCCGTGCAATTAAGGTGGAGAACATAATTGAGATTGATATATCGACTCTACAAAGTTCTGTTGCAAGTGACAGTTTCACAGAGTGGCAGGAATTGTTTGCTGGAGAAGAATCAACAGAAAAGAACAGACTTGATGAGGTTCACGAGAGTTTGGAGGAAGAGTGGAACATCTTAGAGGAATCGGTTTTAAATGACATAGTTGATATCCATAATCAACTATTTGGCTCTGTGGATCTTTGTAGAAATCCTGGAATTGTTAAGGTAGCTGATGAGCAAAAATTATCTGCCTTCATTGACTCTTACTCACTGGGATTAAGAATGATCAGAAGTTTAGAGGGTATAATTTCTTCTAATTTTGATTCTAAGCTTATACCAGAACACATACTTCGCATCTGCTTGGAGAAAGAAAACCTGTTTATCACTCCCCATAAACCTGGTCGTTCATACAATTTTTACAAGGATTCAAATCCCTCTATGATGGCTAAAATGGTGGAGCCACTTGCACAGCTTAAGCAGCGCATACTTGTGCTTTTACACGAGTGGGATGGTCATCCTGCTTTTCAGAAGATTGTGGATGCTATTGATATGGTTTTGTCTATACCTCTAAGTACTCCTGTTGCCAAAGTTCTTTCAGGCTTGCAATTTTTGCTGAACAAGGTGTGGACATTGCAGGCAACTGTCGCAAAAATTCCTCTTTCAGATTATCTGAAACCAATATTTGCTATGGTCTCTTCATTGCAGAAGTTGGAATTTGAATCTTGGCCTGCCTTGCTTGATGACGTTCAAGTACAGTTTGAAGTTAATGCTGGGAGGTTGTGGTTTCCATTATATTCTGTTCTTCAGCGTCATTATTCAGCTGTAGATAATGATTATGATGGAAAAACCATACAGAGTTTGGACGATTTTATACACATGTCTAGCATTGGTGAATTTAAAAGACGTCTCCAACTATTGCTTGCCTTTCATGGCCAACTCCATAATGGTCAATGTCAGGGATCGTATTCAAGTCTTTTCCAAGTGAAACTTGTGAAGATTTTGTACAATACATTTGGATTTTATGTGCAATTCTTGCCAAAGTAAGTTCTTTATAATCTGTATTTGACTTATTTGAATGTTTCAGGGGCTTTCCAAATTGATCAGTTAAGCTGAGGTTTTTCTTCTTTTCATTCCCCCCCCCCCTTTTTGGCTAAGGATTTTGGAACATATTGGAGCTAACAGAAGAACTATTGAGACGGAGTTGAAAGATCACCAGAAATTGTGTCGGTGGGAGCACACTGAGGACTATCTTAGCATAGAAAACTCAAGAAGAGCCCGCCAAAAGTTGAGGAAGATAGTAGACAAGTACACTGTGAGTTATTTCTCCCGTTGCTTACCTTAAACAAATTATGAGATTGTAAACCATTTTGTTATTTCCTTATTGTCAAATTTTGGTACTAAACCAGGAGTTCACTTGTCTGTTGCCTGTTTCCAGCTTGTCACTTGTGTGGGCAATAATGGTGTTTTATGTTCTTTGTGCAGGACCTATTAAATCAACCTGTTGCACTTTTCCTCATCCAAGAAGTTGCAAGAAATGGTGTGAGCCAACCAATGCAAGGCCCACAGCTCAGCCCAGTCTACTCTTACGACAGTAACAGAAAGCTTCTCGATGTTATCTGCAATCAGACCAAGTTTAGAGATGAGGACAGGTTTATTATTTTCTTATCCTCATATGTACTTGATGTCTTGTAGTACAATAAGATAATTGTTTCTGATAATCTGCTCCTCTTTGAACGTTGTCTTTGTTTCTTAATAGCCAAAAGAAAGCTAAGCTGCTTTTACAAGCTTCACATCTTGTGAGGAAGGTTGAGGTTGATATCTCAAATGTTTCGCTGGAGGATATCAGAGGTTGATTGTCTCTTCTTTTTTGGCGTCTCAACTAACATATAGGCATGTTGATTTGTTCCTCATTATGACCTTCAATATTATGCAGAGGTAACAAGCCTCATCAAAAATATTTTGCCTTCCCAGCTCCTGCTGGAAAAGGGAAACCAAATCCTGGATACAATCTGGACAGTTTGCAGCTCAGTTATTCACTGCGGTGATCTTTGGAAGGATGAGAACAAACATTTCGGGAAGAGGAGAGCTTTTTCTGATCTTCTAAAGCTCTTAGAAAGTTGTGGATTATCAAAGCATAGGTCAACTTTCATGGAGGTAAAGAGCATGCAAATCCTAATTATAGCCCTTAGGGGTTGATTTTTAGTGTGCTACTCTAAATAATAATATTGGTTATTTATTCTGCTTTTCTACTGGAAAATATAGGATCAGTTCAATGACAAAAAATTCAGATATTGGCTGCTTCAGCCATCCTATGATGTGCAGCATCTACTAATGCAAGGCGGTGCCTCTTATGGGGATGTGAACATTGCAGCTTCAAGCAACCTTAAGAGTTTGTCTTCTGGAAGTTTAGAGAGCGAATGGAAAACAGCTAACAAATTCTACTTCAGTGGCCTTGCATCAATGCATGTTGTGGAGCAAATTTGCCTGAATTTCCATAAAGATTTTACTCTGGAGCAGGTATAACTCAATGAATGGATATTTGATATCTCCTTATAATCTATGTGTAGTTTGTTTGGTTCTACAATTTGATGAAACAGAAGTGAAGTTCAAGGAGTACAACTTAAACATTGATAAAGCACTGGGACCTGTAGTATATAGATCCTTTAGGCCACTAAGGATTCTTTTAAGCCACTAACCATATGAGATTATTATTTAGGAGAGAGAAATTGCATTTTTTTTTTAAACTTTGATCAGTACAGTCAGCTGAAGTCAAGATGAGTACCATGATATTAGTCCATGATTGAGAGGGAAAACACGTCTGTTTCAAGGGTAATTGAAACAGAATGAGGCCTAATATCATACTGTAGTCATCTTAGGATCAACGACATTCCCTTGTGCAAGCATACTCTTTGGTAGTGTTTTGGACCAAGTAGTAGCATGGATTTTATCCAGTTATAGTGAACATTAGTGTTTTTGTCCTGCTGCTTCTTCTGAATTAATCCAGGTTGAAGTTAATTTCACAACTCCTGGTTAATTTCTGTTGCAAATCAGATCAAGTTCTACACATCTTTCACATGAATGTTGCACTTTAAAAGTTGAAATAGTTGCTTATCCAATTCAAGACAATCTAGAATCATATTAAAACTGACTAAAAAATGGAACTAGTTTTGCTTGCAAGGGACGAGGTAGAGTTGGCTCAAAAGCAGAAGTAATTTAACTTTGAGGCTGTTTGGATTGCTCAATTGACAAGTTAAGTGTGTTGTTACTATGTTGTTTTGACTAGATTATGTTACATTTGTAACTTTTTGGAAAAGCAATATTGTCTGACTGGTAGTCCCTGGAAAGCTACACAACTGAAGTTAGATTTGACAAAGAACTGGAAAGACTGTGCTACCTCCTCCCTCCCCCCCCCCCCCCCCCCAAAAAAAATAAACAATTAAATCAAATTAAAGATACAAACTCATTGGCTCCTAAGGGAGGTGCAGGGCAATGAAATTGCTCAAGAATAATTGGCCTTACTTTGAAGGAAGCATCTGGAGCTTGTCCTCCTTTTCCCAAAAAATACAAAAGAACGAGAGAATACGCAATGATATGTGCTCGGTTTTTGGCACAGGCATATAATATTGGGTTCTTGACTGTTATGTTTACAGACTAGCCTGGAAATAATAAACTAAGGAAATTCCAATTCAATCTGAGTTGGCTTCATAAAATTTATCAAAGATTGGTTCATACGATTGCAATGTCATGCTTGAGAACATTCAAATTCATCAACTTGTCATCTTTTCAAGCAATGAAGTATAAGAAAGTTTCGGGTACATGGACTGATTTATACATCTCTAATGAAGTAATTCATTCAAACTAACTTGGGAATGAACAACCGAGCTTGCATACAGTAACAACATTATTCGAGCCATCATGGAAACGAACAACCCAGCTTGTATACAATTTTGAAACCTGTTTAGACCAACGAAAATGTTAACATGTATTGCATGTATCACACGTCTCTGATCCAGATTATGCATCGGGTTAAACAGCACAACCTACACCTTTTTCTCCTATGTGTTTGAGCTGGAGTTTTCACCTTTAAAATGCACATTATTTTGTTGAATCCTGTTGTTTGTATTGTTTAAAAGTCCTATTCTTTTCTTGATCATCTCAGATCCTATTGTTTGTATAGGTTAAAAGGTCCTGTTCTTTCCTTGATCACCTCATTGCAATTCAACAAGATCAACGTGCTGCTGCCTATCATTTTTCGGAGGAACTTAAAGATCTGAGAGAATGTCTTTGGCCTTTAGCAAATTTGTTCCCAGACTCTTTTCTGGGACCAGCCAGTTGTGAATGGTCCTTTCCTGAGAACCAAAATGTCATATTTAATTGCATGTGGCAGCAGAAGGTAGACATTGGACTTGTGGCTCAGTATAGTCTAAAATGTCATTTTTGCATTGTTGATGACTGCTGTAACTTCACCTTTTTCATTGCAGCAACTTCTTGACAATTTGTCTACCATGATATCTGAAGTGCAATTGTTGGTACAAAAGGTAGAGCATAATCACTTAAACTCCTGTTCCAACGTCAAAGATACAGCTAAGCAGATTTTTTGCATCATTGAGAAATTTGTCCCGGAGCTTCAGAGCTCTAAGGTACTTACTCTTGTTCATACTTTTCTTCCCATTGATGTTATGCTTGCATATCTAAGCTAATGATATTTCCAAAACAGGGTCTGCTGGATCTTCATCTTCTTGGCGATAACAGAGCTAAAGCCACTTGTGAAGCTTTACTGCTTCCATATGGTGTTACAAAACAAATGGAACAATTGGTAAATGACAACTTCAAGTGGATAAGAACATTTAAGGACAACCTCAGTGCTTTTAGCAGGGAAGACAGGGAGGGAGCAACAGTTAAAGCAATATTACTTGGACACTTCGAAGAGGTTTTTGAGAAGGTACTTTTAAGTTCCATTTGTAAATTGATGGATATGCGTAATTAATTACAATTTTTGTTTCTCAATTTCTTGAGAGTGGTCTGCTTTTAACAATTTATTGGCTATGTATTTTCAGGCTAGTTTCATGGCCGAACAGTATAGTTCTGATTTGAAAGCAAGAAAGCAATCAGAAAATGTTTCTGAAGATGCCAACCTTCATATAGAAAACACTATTGGAGTGGGCTTCCTGGATCCATTTAAGGAAATATATAGAAGTATATCAGATGCATTCCATGTGATGCTCTCACAGAAGAATGGACCTGTTTTTGGTGAAGAGTCACCAAGCAATATTAGTGAATGGAAAAGCTTTTTCGAAGCAGATACTCAACGCTTGAAGTTGGACTTTATCTGTGACAAATTGGTGCAGATAACTAATAATGCTGTAAGTTTTCCAGTTCAATCACTGGTCTTAAATTAAAAACTGATCTCATAAGATATCTTTCAGATTTCTGTTTGAATTCTAACTGGTAAGTTCTTTATCAGGGAGAGCAGCTGAACCATTGCAGTAAGACAAATACATGCTCTCTTTTTCAAGCACATTTGAGGATTCTATACTCATTGTTAAACGTGATCTTGGCCTTTGGTGATGGTCTTCTGCATGATTTTCTCAATATGCATAGGATGGTAAGAATGTCAAATGCATTCTGATCTCAATTGATTTATAATCTTCCTTCTGTTAGAAAGCAGTGAACCTAAGCTACATGAAATGTATTCTGCCTTCTTGGATTAAGCAATCCAGTCTCCTTTATGTGCCGCATTCTAGTTACAGAGGGATCTGGAGTAGGTGTAATGGGTGGCCTAAGGCCTTTCTTGTAAAAGGATAGGCTGGATTAAGCAATCGAGTCTCCTTTTTTGTCTCTTTCTTGAATTTTTTCTCTCCCTTTGTATACATGCTCCATTAACATTGGTTACCTAAATGGGTCTACTTTGTATGCAGGTCTCAGTCATGACTTATGTGCTTGCAGAGATTTTTGCTTTGTTATTTGCAAAAGGATTTGGCATTCCAGAAGACCAAGTTAAGGAATCTGAATGTGAAACAAGACAAGATGCTAGTGGAACCGGTATGGGTGAGGGTGCAGGACTAAATGATGTCAGTGATCAGATAAATAATGAAGATCAACTTCTTGGGACTTCTGAAAAGGTATGGAAGCCCCAGGGTTATAGAACTTTCTATGTTGCTCTCTTCTATTCTTTTCCTTCAAGAAAGATCCTTGCGCAAGCTTCATGACATTCTTTTCCCTGTTTCCACAGAATTGTGAGGGGCAGGATGGTTTAAGTGATCCTCCAAGTAGAAGTGATAAAGGAATAGAGATGGAACATGATTTTGGTACTGATGTCCTTAGTGTTAATGAGGAACCTATGGATGATTATGGTGGCAGTGGAGACGAGCAATTGGAATCTGCAATGGGGGAAACTGGTGCTGATAGTGAAATTGCTAAAGAGAAACCCTGGGAGAAGAGTGATGATGAAAATCCCATGGGCATGGAAGAGAAGTATGAGTCTGGGCCACCAGTGGAAGACTATGAAACTAATGATAGGGAGCTTCGAGCTAAGCAAGATCCAGTTTCTGTTGATGAAGCTGGGGAGAACAATCCTGAAGAATTTGACAAAAAAGATGTGGAAAATGGAGAAGAAGCTGCTCCTGACGGCAAGGAAGATGCGATGATGGACAAAGACAATGCATACTCAGATCCTAGTGGGTTGAAGATTGATGAGCCAAACCAAGATTTTGATGAAGATGAAGCAAACGGAACTGAACTCATGGAAGATCATGTAATGGAAGAACTACAAGATCCAGCTGACAGTGAGAACGAGGAGGAAAAGGATGTTGAAATGGATGGAACTTTGGATGAGAAAGGTTCTAACAATTTGACAGACAGCCAAGAAAGTGATCATGAAAATGATACAATGGGCTCTGGGGAGCCAAAGGAACCTCTGCAAATGGGAACTTCTGAGCAAATGAATGATGATATTTCAACTTTGCAATCTGCAAATAAACCAAATGCAGAATCTAGTGCTGTAGGTTTGGGTGATGTTGTACCAGAAGCAAAATGGTCAGATGCCAGTGATGTTCAAGATGATCTTGCTCCTATCAGAGGCTTACCTGATTCCTCTGCCATTGAACTTCCTGTTACTGACACATCAAATGGTAGCAAACTAGGCAATAGTCGTTTTGATGCGCCTATGCCACTAAGGGAAGACTCAATTCAGAAAACAAAACCAAATCCTTTGCGTAGTGTTGGAGATGCACTTGATGGATGGAAAGAACGAGTTAAAGTGTCTATGGATCTTGAGGAAAATGTCAATGACACTGGTGATTTCAATGAGGAAAATGCAAATGAATATGGATACACTGCTGAATTTGAGAAGGGAACAGCCCAAACACTTGGACCAGCAACAAATGACCAGATTGACAAAAATATGAGTGGAAAGGATCTGGAAAAAGATACTGAAACTAAAGGAGTAGACCATGGCATTGATATGGAGTTTGAAAATCAGCCATCTGACAGACAACATATGCTGAGTTCGGCTTTGAATCATGGAAATGATTTGGAAAGACAATCAGAAAGCTTGGACTTAGGGAAGCATTCAGAGGAATCTTCAGGACTTCATGGGAATCATGATGAGGACACGAGGTTATCACAGAGTTTGGTGTCTATCAATAGGTCTTACTTGACTGAGGACATAAATCAACTCAGCAAGCTTTCTGTGAGTGATGACGAGCTTGGTAAGGCCAATTTTCTTGAAGAAATTTCCAGTGATGTGAGACATAATGCTGCTACAGTGTGGAGAAGATATGAACTACTCACTACAAGATTGTCACAAGAGTTGGCTGAACAGCTCCGGCTTGTCATGGAACCCACTTTAGCTAGCAAGCTCCAGGGTGATTACAAGACTGGCAAAAGGATTAACATGAAGAAGGTGCGTATTATAGTGCTTATATTTCTAAACTCATTCTCACTTTCTGTGGTTTTTCAAATGAAATACCTTGTTTCTGGAAGAGAAGGAAGGAAGTGGAAAAAAAATTTTTCCTTGTGTTCAGAAGATGACAAGAAGAATGCTGGACAGATACACATTACCATTTTCTCTGTGCTTCTTTGGGTTGGGGTGGGTGGGAGACTGGAACTTGATTGGCATATTATATAAACTGAGAAAAGAAAACACAGCATGTATGATACCTATTGACTTTACATGGTGTAGATACTTTAAACCTGAAAGGTATACGATTACGTGTGTAAATTGGCAGGTGATTCCTTATATTGCAAGTCATTACCGTAAAGACAAAATATGGCTAAGGAGGACACGGCCAAATAAACGCAATTACCAGGTGGTCATTGCTGTGGATGATTCCCGTAGTATGCAGGAAAGTCGTTGCGGAGATGTAGCTATTGAAGCTTTGGTCACAGTTTGTCGTGCAATGTCTCAATTGGAAGTTGGTAACTTAGCTGTTGCAAGCTTTGGGAAGAAGGGCAACATAAGATTGCTCCATGATTTTGATCAGCCATTTACTGGAGAAGCTGGTATAAAGGTCAGTTTTTTCCTCCTGACAAGTAAATGAGAAGCTGACACTACATCTCAGTCCATCTTTTGTTCTTTTTTTTTTCCAATCTTGATCAACTGTCTGTAGATCATGCTTTTGAATGGTCTATTTGATTGCTTCAAGTTAAAAATTGTTTAGATGAGATCTAAGCTGCACATAATTGTTGTGAAACTGGATTACTTTGGCTGATATTTGCCTTTTCTGGGAATAGATGATCTCAAGCTTGACATTTAGTCAAGAGAATACAATAGCTGATGAACCAGTAGTTGATCTATTGAAATATTTGAACAATATGCTGGATGCTGCAGTAGCAAATGCACGACTACCTTCAGGACATAATCCCCTGCAGCAACTTGTTTTGATAATTGCAGATGGCAGGTTCCATGAGAAGGTATTTCACAATCCATTCATCAAATATCCAACCTTGTCACTTATCCTCTCATTCTCATTTATTCTCTTTTTACGTCGAATATTTCTAGGAAAACCTTAAACGTTGTGTGAGAGATATCTTGAGTAGAAAACGTATGGTTGCATTTTTGTTACTGGATAGCCCTGAAGAGTCAATCATGGACCTGATGGTAACACTTTTTGCCTTATATTTTGGTTGTATTTTTGTCTTTTCAAGTTTTTGGAACTAAAGTCTCTTCAGTCTCAAGGATGACTCACTTGTTTGTTCCTCCAGGAAGCAACATTTCAAGGTGGAAATGTCAAGTTCTCCAAGTATTTAGATTCCTTTCCTTTCCCGTATTATGTGGTTCTGAAGAACATTGAGGCACTACCTAGAACACTTGCTGATCTATTGAGACAAGTAATTACATGTGCTCCTTGTCCCCCCCCCCTCTTTCTCTCTCTGTCTCTCTCAGGCCTAAAAGGTATGGAATACTATATATTATGATCCGAGTCTTAACCAATTTTTTCTGTATTTTACGTGCAGTGGTTTGAGCTTATGCAATATTCTAGGGACTAAATATATGGGAGTGCCAATGTCGTGATAGTAACTGGTGCTGATCGGTGATAGATCATACAAACTTCATCTACCCAGCACCCCTCTTCCTCTTACGTGGTTCGGGAGAGACATCTTGCTGGCTCGAGGCAGTCGACGAACGATTAAGAACTAATGATAGTGAATGGGCTTTGTTCCGCATGATGCTGTCCACTGGCGGAAATGCAGTGGCTCGCAGAGGTGAAGACGAAGCTAAGGGTGCCTTCTTGTGTATGTGGTTCGGTCAGTCTGGTGGTTAGCATGAACCACCCCGTGCAGTCTGGGCTTCGTGAGGCTCATTCAGAGTACTTGGGACTTCTGCAAACGGGAGAGGGAAAGAGGATGTACCACACTTTCCTGGATGGACTCCTGACGTATACGGTCATCGAGAAATTCCGACCTCTGTCTCTGAGGAGTCCTTTCTAAAATTAACATTTTAGGTTTCACATTGAGTCAGTCGTCGTTTAAGAGTTGCTATATGCACGTCGAAGGCGATTAAGAAGTTCGATGCTGCTGTCTCCTTGGAAAAAAAAGGCTGAATGGTTTTGTTTGTAACCGACCAAATTTCTGGTAGGGTAGAATCAAGCTTCTTCTTCCGATGGATATGCAAAATAACATGCTTTTGAGTTGTACCAATTGTAATTGGAATGGAGTTCTAAACTGAAATTTTGTAGATGTTATTTCAATTTTCTGTGTGCCAGATTAGTTCACAAGATTAACGGATAAGGATCACGTAAATTTGAAATGGTGAGATGGGATAAGGATTAGCTAAACATGCATAGCAATTGGAAATCGAGAAAAGTTACATTGCTAGTAACTAATAGTTTTAAATGGTTTGATTGTAGTGAAATTGTAGAATCAAATATTTATGGATTAAAATAAATCTAAAATTCTAGAAACAAAGGGATTGGGCATATTGAGGCTTGTAATAAAAAACTCCTTCCTGCAATACACATGCTCGAACCAAATATTACAAGCTTTTCTCAATTGATCAATATGGTCATGTTTTGGCTCTAGTTTTTTTTTTTTTTTCTCTTTTTTTTGTAACGGCAACTACCTAATATATTCTTACTTTATGGGGAGGGAGCTGAAATAGACTCGTATTAGGATTAAATACACTCTACGGGGAAAGTTTATAGGGAGGGAGCCTGAGGAGGCGTGAATTGGAGTTAAATATACTTTATGGAGAGTTTAAAGAGAATCGTGTGGAGGTTAAGAGATAGAGTATCAAATCACACAACAGCGTTATTATATTCTTTGAATTTTTTAAATATAAGAAATAATACAATTCTTGTGTGATGCACTAAACAAATAGGGTTTAAACTTCCGACCTAGTATATACTTCCTTCGTCTCACTTTGATAGTTCTGGTTTTTTTTCACACAGTTTAAGAAAAAATAGTTAACTTTATTGGAACAATCAATTTAGGTAGCTATTTTCCTAAAATACCTCACATTAATTGGAGTACAACTTTATGAGAATTTGAATTGATGATAAAAAAAAATACCTCACATTAATTGGAGTACAACTTTATGAGAATTTGAATTGATGATAAAAAAAGAATCAACTCTCATTAAAATAGGGTATGTTTATAGTAACAACAACTTACATTGCATAAGGGTATTTTACGAAAATTAGAATACAACTACATTCTTCAATTGGAGATAGGATTACAATTTGAGACAGACGAAAAAGAAAAACAGGACTATCAAAGTGGGACGGAGAGAGTGACAAAGTTTAAAAAAAAAAAAAGACTCTCCCTGATGATTGGATCTTCTCCAACTGGGCGGAAGCTCTTGCTTTTTGAAATTAGTCTTAAGTTTTACGAGCAATTACAAATTTTTCTTGAATTATACTCTGCATGTACTTAGAACAAGAAAATACATACGGTAAATCTGAACCTTGACAATGACATTACGTAACTTTATTTGTATAGTGTATAACTTTATTACAAAATTTTATAGGTCTCACACACGATATGAAAATCGATACACAACTTATATGATCTGAACCGCATAATTTATTGAGAACAAATCATGATCATTAACAGCTCGAGAACGATCGCTCTGATGACCGCTCCTGCCAACGTTTCCCGCCGGCACCAGGTGTGAGTCCGGCTAGGATACGGTTCACGCGTCAGAAGTGGTGGGCCAGTCATCCGCAGGTCTTTGTCAGATCGCAGTACAGACAAACAAACCCACTACCTCTTTGAAAAGACCAAACCAACCCTCTAACTAAATTTTATTACACCAATCCGACAGCTGCACGTGGCAATCATGAGGCTTCATTCCCCCGTCTCTCTCTCTTGTTTAGTACTCGTATATTCGTGCAATGATGATGCAAACAATTAAAAAGAATAAAATGTAAAATCCTCAGCCTTTCTCTTCATCCTCCACTCCCGTCTCGCTCTCACTACCTTCCGCCAACAGGCCTTTCGGTCTTGCCGATTATTCTCTCCTCCTCTAAGCCGCTTATTTCCATTGTAGTTTCTGAACAAGTCCGAGATCCGATACCTCCAGTAGTATTGATATAATCAGGTCTACCGTTTCGTTTCCGTCGAAGATGATGTACCTTTTTTTGCCGGTTAGAGCCATCCAAAAATGTTAGACCCGTATGCTATTGTTCACGTTAGATCCCAAAAATGGCTTCGCAAGAGGAAAAAAAAGGGCCCTCTTTGGATTTTGACCTCAACTTTCTCCTGCACTTGTGAATAGTAGTAGCTCCAGCAGCAGATAAAGTTTTGATCTTTTTTCTGAGCTTGCAGTAACTGCAGTTCCAAAAAAATCTTTAAAGACCAGACTTTTTGGGATTTGTGTGATAGTAACAATAATATTTTTGTTGGTTTTAAGATGTTTGATGATCTAATGGATATGGGTTTGTACTTGTTTTCATAGACATATTAGAGATGGAGGTCAAGTTAGTAGAATGAAAATTTTTTGAGCAACAGTAGTTGACAGGGAAAAAAAAAAGTGGGATTTTTGAAAGTGGCTAAGATGAGTTTGGATGCTGCTGAAGAAGAAGAAGAATCGTCCCAAGAAGTAAAAATTCCAGCGGATATAGATTGGAAAATGCTGGATAAATCCAAGTTTTTCTTCCTCGGAGCTGCCTTTTTTTCCGGTGTTTCAGCTACTCTTTATCCTATAGTGGTGTTAAAAACCAGGCAACAGGTGGCCCAATCTCAAGTTTCTACCATTAGGATTGCGTTTTGGATTGTTAGACACGAGGGGTTTCGCAGTTTGTATAGAGGATTTGGGACTTCTTTAATGGGTACAATCCCCGCCAGGGCATTATACATGGCCGTCTTGGAGATTACCAAGAGTAATGTGGGGACTACTGCTATTAAAGTTGGCTTTCCAGACTCGACTGCAGCTGCTATGGCTAATGCTGCTGCTGGATTAAGTGCTGCAGTGGCTGCACAAATGGTTTGGACCCCAATTGATGTGGTGAGCCAGCGCCTTATGGTGCAAGGTGGTAATCGACACAAATTTAGTAATTCGTTATCTTCGACCAAGTATCTGAATGGAATTGATGCCTTCAGGAAGATCCTAAATTCGGATGGACTCAGAGGACTCTACAGGGGATTTGGGATTTCGATCTTGACTTATGCTCCTTCTAATGCAGTTTGGTGGGCATCCTACTCTGTTGCTCAGAGGCTGGTTTGGGATGGAATTGGATTTTACTTGTGCAAGAAAGATGATGATATGTTTGAAAATGGTGTTAGTGCTTTAAGGCCTGATTGTAAAACTGTAATAGCTGTTCAAGGGGTCAGTGCATTCATGGCTGGAGGAGTTTCCGCGGTGATTACTATGCCTTTGGATACCATAAAGACCAGATTGCAGGTTCTGGATGGGGACGAAAATGGCCGAAAGGGGCCAACCATTGGACACACGTTCAGGAATTTGGTAAGAGAAGGTGGTTTGATGGCTTGCTACAGAGGGCTGTGGCCACGATGGGCTTCAATGTCCATGTCTGCCACCACAATGATAACTACCTATGAGTTCTTGAAACGGCTTTCCGCCAAGAATCAAGAGGGTTTGACATGATGAACATACGAATTACGAAATAAAACAAACAGGGCATAAGCTTAGTTTTGTCTTCTCCTTTTTCAACTAATGCAATGTTAAATCTTTTGGTTGTTTTGAAGTCTGAAGTTGTCTCTATTTCCTGCTGTTGCTTGAACTAGAACTCTTCACCCTAACCAAAATGGCAGTCTTATGTGTGCAGCTGCTAGTTTCGTTATGCGTACAACTTTAACGTACATACCATTTTTTTGCTTCGACTCCCACACACATACCTTCCTGCATCATGATGCATTTTCTGGAGTATATTCCACAACTTTTGGGAACTCGAAACTCTTTACTGGGAGGTCCCCTCTATTAGCTAAAAGTCAGTTTTTCCAGCTTCGCTCTAGTCGATCGGAAGTGGCTGCCAAAATGTGAGCTCCCTTTGCGTGGAGGGATTGCTTCTTTTCAGTCTTTATGGATAATAGCCAAATACTAAAACCATAGAATGGAGTTGGGCACTGATTAGTCCATGGTTAAATCTTTTTCGTGCACTGATTACAGAACTGTACTGCGAAACCGATCACTTATCAGAATCAAGATGCTTGCTTTAAATAAATGGCTAAAGAGCATTTTGTTGCTTACGTTGGTTAAATGTTTAGCTTTTTAGTATTTGGATGGATGTTGGACAAGGCATCAAGGGTTATGAAAGAGACTTTTGTACGGTCCAGTATGGCAAGTGTCTTATGTTTGTCCCAGGCATAACAATCCACAAATTATTTTATGGAACCACTGGGCCTCCTTCCGTCCGGCACACCGGGATCATCTCCTCCCGCGCCGATGATTCTTCGAACCTTGTAAACATTCGGTAAAACCATAATTACAAGCAGAGATGCGAGACTCGCTTAATTCCAATTTTGCACTACAATCCATTTTGGGCATGCAGCAGAGGTACATTGCCAGATGAAAAAGATTTTTTGTCAGTTCGATGCCATGTATTTCTTCGCCGTCCGCCGATCTTTTTAGGTGAGTTCGAAACGATTGGCAAGTTACTCGGTCAGTTTTCACCTGTCTAGAATGTGCGCTTTAACCAACGGAAGCCAGAGCTATGGAGAGAAGACTAAGAGCTAAGGACATGAATCTGAGACACGGTACGATCATTTGTTATGGAGAAAAAGACTAATAGCTAACGGCGCGCGTTTCCAGAGTCGAGAAATGGTGATCTAACATCTGCAAGGAGAGACAGTCAAAACTCCCAACAGGAGAACATCAACAAAATGCTCCTGCCTCCCTAGCACTAAAATTAGGAGAATGTAACCCTTTTTAGCAGTAAATCGGGGACTAAATTAGCCAAAGTACAAACAAAATGGCAACACCACAGCACAAAATAATGTCATCCTGGAGAAAAAAGTATGAACTCACAGGTTAGCTCTACATACAGCTCCGAAACACAGAAGCAACCTAACCGCTTAGACAAGACGGAGCGCATCAAGAGGCTGAAAGTAGATGAATACTACGTTACATCACTCATTAAGTGCGAGCTCTCTTATTGCTGCATGATGGGCACTTATACTGCTTGATATGCTCAGCTCTAGCAGGGGTGATCTTCACACACTTGCCGTGGAACCACTTCTCACACATATCACAACATATCCAGAACTCATCCGATGCATAATTCTCACCACAGGCACCACACAAGG